CCAACAGAGCGAGACTGAGAGGGGAGGGGAGGGGAGGAGAAGAGAAGAGAAAGTATTCTGACTCCCCTACCTCACATGCTACATAAAAATCAATTTCTGGAGGATGGCAGACCCAAATGTAAAAGGCAAAATTATTATGTTTTCAGAAAACAAATAGAATATCTTCATGATACAGGGGAATGCATAGAATTCTTAAATTCTTAAACGATTAACCATAAAGGAAAAAAGCAGATAGAGTGAACTTTAGTAAAATTAAAAATCAAATGCTTTTGTCCAAAAGATACTACTGAGAATGGAAAGGTAAACCACAAAGGGAAAGAAGACATTTGTAATATGAGCATGACTTGTACCCAAGAATGTATAAATAACTCACAAATCAATAAAAAGGTCATATATCCCAATATTTTTAAATGGAAAAAGACATGAATAGGAACCCTGCAAATGAAGATTTCCAAATAGCCAATAAAGGGCCAGGTGTGGTGGCTCACGCCTGTAATCCCAGCATTTTAGAAGGCCAAGGTGGGTGGATCCCTTGAGCCCAAGAGTCCAAGACCAGCCTGGGGAACATGGTGAAACCCTATCTATTAAAAGAAAAAAAATTTTTTTAATTAGGTGGGTGTAGTGGTGCATGCCTGTGGTCCCAGGTACTCAGGAGGCTGAGATGGGAGAAGTTCTTGAGCCCGAAGTAGAAGCTGCACTCCAGCCTGGGTAACAGAGCAAGACCCTCTCTCAAAAAACAAAAACAAACAGAAACCAAATAGCCAATAAACATAAAAAGGTATTCTACCTCCCTGATCATTAGGGAAATGCAAATAAAAACCACCATATATGGTTGGTAACTTAATACACTCACCACTGACGAAAACAAGGAGCAAGTGGAAATCTCATCCATTTGCTGCTGCTGGTAATGAAAGTGAAAGTGGTTCAACCACTTTGGAAAACACTTTTGCAAAACCTGCTGAAGCTGGGACCAATACCCTGCGACCCAGTAACTCCCTGGAACACCCCAACAGAAACAGAAACACATGTTCTACTGCACGGAAGAGAACCTTCCTAGCAGTACTATTCCTAACAGCAAAAAGCCAAAAACAAACTTTCATCTAGATTTGATGAATCAGTAAATTGCAGTACATTCAACATACAACAGTGAGACTACACTCCTTGCAATGACACAGATGAATCTTATAATGTTGGCGAAAGCCAGCCTCAAGAGAGAACATATAGTATGATGTCATTTATATGAGGTTCAAAGGCGGGCAAAGTCGATTTATGGTGACAGAAGCTAAGATGGGGGTTAGCCTTGGCAGATTAGTAATTGGAAGGGCATGGTGAGGCTTTGGGTTGGGGACAGCTGGTTGGTTACACAGGTGTGTTCAGTTTTTGAAACTTCAGTGAGAAGTTATATAATTTATGCACGTTTCTGTATGTGTTACATTTCAACAAAAATCTCTGGAAAGTAAAAGCAAAAAATTAAAGTAGAATAGGTTCTAGAACAACCCTCACAAGCTGATTGCTTGGATGCTTTCATGAACCTAGGATCCAAATCCATATGCAGGATTTCCTGGAGTGTAAACAACCCTGTTCTAGTCCAACCTCCTCACTCTGCTATGAATATTTTATTTACTTATTTATTTATTATTATTATTTAAATTTTTAGACAGGGTCTCACTCTGTTGCCCTGGCAGTGGTGTGATCTGGGCTCACTTCAGCCTCAACCTCTTGGGTTCAAGCAACCCTCCTGCATCCCAAGTAGCTGGGATTACAGGTGCACACCAACATGCCCAGCTGATTTTTGTATTTTTAGTAGAGATGGGGTTTCGCCATGTTGCCCAGGCTGGTCTCAAACTCATGGGCCCAAGTGATTCTCCCATCTCAGCCTCCCAAAGTGCTGGGATTACAGATGTGAGCTACCATGCCCAGCCTGCTAGGAATACTTTAATCCCCTCACTTTAAAGGAGGAAACTGAGGCTAGAGAGGAGATCTGCTAAGGTCACACAGTGTGTGTGGATGGCAGTGCCAGGCGCAGCACACAGTACTGAGGGCTCAGAAAGAAGAAATGGAGGCAATGTGGTGCAAAAGATAGGCGTGTAGACTCTGCTGCCTTCTAACCAGGTGGCCTCAGGCACATCCTTTAACCCTCCCATGCCTTCATCTGAAAATTAGGGCTGCTGTGAAGATTGAGTCACACGAGCACAGGGCTTGGCACAGCACTCAAAGCCATGAACCACTACGACTACTATTTGTACCAAGGATACAAGCTCAGGAGAAGGAGGGAGGGAGCTCTCATGCATACCTGGGGCACTGCAAAGGCTTTCTTAACTCATGTGATCCTCTCACGGCCCCTCAAGGTGAGACGCAGATCTATTTTACAGATAAAGCTATGGAGACTAGATAGTTAAGTGACTTGAACTAGTAAGAATGGAGGAATGGAACTCAGGTCCCTCTGTCCGCAGCAGAGGGACTACTTTTACTACCACAGTAGTCACCAAAGGGCAGGGTGAGGCATCACAGCCCAATGAAGGGAATCCTCAGGACTGCCTGGGTACCCCGAGAAATTCTCCAAGACTGGGGCAAGGCCAGGGGCTGAGAAGGGCAGGCCCCTGCACAGCCTCAACTCTATAGGACTTATGGACCCCTAGCTTCCCCATGGGGCCTCTCTCCATCTCAGCACCAGCCCACCCTATCCCAGCACCAGACCACAGAGCCTGCCCCAGGGGCAGTGCCAGCCTGCACTCCATCACCAAAGCCCCTCACTCCCACACTTAGACCACCTCTAATCCCTAGCAGCATCTTTTATGGGCCAAGAAGGAGCTTTCCTGGCTCCAGATCTGACTCCACCCCTTCCTGCTGAACACTCTCTTTCCAAGGTAAAGCATAGGACAACTGAGTCCTTCAAAGTCCTTCGCCACCTGCTGCCTCACAGCCCCTATGCTGCCTCAGTCCCATGGCTCACCACACCCCTCTGTGCTTGCTGGGTGTTGGGCATGGCTCTAGGCCCTGGGAACAGAGCAGTAAACGAGACAAGTCCTAACCCACATCTTGCCCTAGGTACCCAGTTTGAGTCACATGTGAATCCCCAAGTGCCTGACACAGGTCTTGCCCAGAAACCCATGTAAGGCAATACCAGTGCATGAACGGGACTTGTCTGGATGTGTACACAGAGGCTGTTGCCTCCCTGTTCAATCTGACAAATGCCTCCTAAAACCCCAGCTCCTGCCCCTCCTGCTACTCTCCTACTGCCTGGGATATTTTCTACACACCCAACTCCTATGCAACTCCATCTAACACCGCCTCTGCCAGGAAGCCTTCCTCTGGCTTCCTAAAGCTGACTTGGTCCCTCCTTTCTTTGGGAGTCCCTCACTGTGGGAATGACTATGTCCAGGTCTGCCTCCTTCATCAGACTGGGACCACCTCCCAGTGCCACCCAAGAGCACCTGACTCATTTCTGTGCTTCTAGAATGTAATGGCCAGCACCATGCAGCTTGGTAAATATTCATGGAATGAGTAAGTGAATCAACCTACCAAGAGAAGAGTAAACATCAGGAAGGGAAGAACAATATGGGCTCCCAGGCCTTGAGGAGAAGTAGGGAGGAGAGTGAAGAAGACACTCGAAGCTCCCAGTGTCATGGCTCAGCTCTCCTGACCTCCCCTCCCTGGCCTCTGTACCCTGTTCCCCACCAAGCCCCCAACTCTTCTGCCTCCAGGAGGCTTCAGAAACTGACCATACCCCACAGCACAAAGGGGCCAACTGCTCCTAGCCAAGCCCCCAGGACCCCTTGGTGAGGCTGTTAGGAGGTGTCTGGTTTCCCGTCTGCAGGGCATCTGTTCCTCCACAACAGGCTCACTGGCCCTCCTCCAGAGATTCGAGGTCCATTTTAGATCAGAAGTTCCCTAGGGACTGAGGGAACCACTCTGCCACTCACTGCTTTAGGGGCCTCTGACATCCTGTAGAGTCCTCTGGTAACCCTCTCTGAATATCAGCATCCACAGCTAATAGCTGGCACAGATCAGTTATTGAGAAGCTCCCTCAGTAATAACGAATTCTGACAGGCTGCAGACTTGGCTGCTCTGAAGAGCGTGGCTGCCTGGCGTGTCCAGCCTCCAGGCCAGGTGTTTGGGGAAGCCTCCTGCTCACCAGGCGATGTGCATTACCCTCTTCCTGACCTCCTAAGGCATTGGAAGCCCATTGTACCCGGCAGGAAGAAGCAGGGCACCAGCTCTGAGCCTGACACTCAGCTCCACCAGGGACTCACCGTGTGACGTGCTTCCTTAGCCTCAAAAGGAGGAAATAAGACCAAGCTCACAACGGTAGCCATGAGGTCTGAAGAATGATGCTTGGAAAGGGCCTAGCACAGTGCCTGGTGAAGAACAGGTGCTCAATAAATACTTGGCACACAAAGGCTCCTCTGCCTCTGATTTGGTGAAATGCAGGAGTGGCATCCCCAGGGCTACAGGACAATACCCTTGGCTGGTGCTTGGTGAGAGGTCTGGAGCTTCAGAGCACAGAGGTCAAGACTCTGGCTCTGAAGGATTAGAGACACGGCTTCCTGTCCTGGATGTGTTGGGTACTTGCTCTGTGACCCTGGGCAAATTGCCTCCCCTCTCTGAGCCTCAGTTTCCACATTTTCAAGATGGACACTGAGTTGGCATGTATTAACACACTCGGTTGGCAAGGGTGGCAAAACAACTGTTCTGGCAATCATTATTCATCAGGACCAACCACGGCCAGATACTGTGCAAAGAGCTGGGTTAAACTTGGCCCTGAAGGCAGTCTGCATCCTCCTCTGCTCTGGCAGCATTTAGAATGGTGATGGAGGTTCATAACCTGGAGTTGTTGGGTGCAGGGATCCCAGCCCCCACTGGCCTGTGTGCTGTGCCAGCCAATGCATCCCTTCACCTCATGGGGGGAGCTAGGACTTGGCTCAGGGCAGCGTCAGGGAAGGCCCAGCATTCAGGCCCCTTCACTTACCACCCCCAGACCCCCATCTAGAGCCACTCACCAGGATGGTTGTGACCACCAGGGTCTTGTTGGCCAGTGTCTGTGACAGGTTGATGTCCAGGGTGGTGGCGTTCATGGCTAGGGTACGGTTAGAGTACCACATCCCAATCTAGGAGGCAGAGAGGGTGCTGTCAGTTCAGGCCCTATCTGAGGTCATGGCAGCCTCTGGGCCTGCCCCCACCCTCACCCCGGCAGGGTTCTGGTGTTGCCTTGGGTCTGCTCACCTCACGGTGGCCCTGCCGGGACTTCTCTAGGATACGCAGGGTATAGTTGGTTCTCTGCCCTTTGCTGTTGAACTCGACTCGCCCAGTCAGCCCATCATACTCTACCTGGCAGGGCGGGGAGGCAGGGCAGAGGGAAGGTGCAGGGGTCCAGAGATGGGCAGGGAAGGCCCAGCGGGGACGAGACATCCACAGAGAAAGGCACAGACAGATAGGGGATGATGGGACAAGAGAGAGAAGAGGAAGACCACAGCCAAAAGAGCAAGATAACATGCAAGGAAGCAAGGGGAGATGGGACAAAAGGCATGAAGAGGGCAAGTCTCAGAAGGAGAGAGAGAACAACCCAGACAGGCAGCAACAGCCGGGAGTGGATAGGAGAGGCAGTGGGTAAGGTGTGAGGAGCAGGGAGGGCAGAGGGCCGCACGATGGACACAGTGAGTGTTCCCACCTGAGGTGGCCATGCCCTGCCTCCTCTGCCCACTCCCGCTGGGGCTCACCATGCGCAGGTAGTTCATGAGGCTGGTCCCGTGGGGCCAAATGTTGGCTGACGTACAGGCCAGAGGCTTCACGCCAATCTCCTGGCTGCGGTTCAACTCTCGGACGGCACTCACCACCACATGCACGGCATCAAACATCAGGGCAGCTGACAGCTGGGGTGGGACAGAGGCGGAGGTGGGATGGATGAGGCTGCTTAGCCAGGGGAGCCCCCAAGCTGCCACCCTCAGGCCCTTGAATAATTTCCCTCTCTCCAGGAATGGAAAACTAGGTGGGTCAGAAGGAAGTGGCTCTGGTGTCTTTCTCGGGAAGTCGAAATGACAGTGGGGAAGGTGTGTATGCCTCCCGTGTCTTGGTGGGAGCAGGTCTTCTAGACTGCGTGTGGCCATGTGTCTCTCAGAGGGTCCCTGGATGGCTAGCTGTCACCTGCATAGGCAGGTGTGTCTGGGAATCTGGATGATGCAGGCCGGGGAAGATGGCCATAGTCCCCATCTGAGTGTATCTGCGGCATGTTTACATGAATGGGGCTGGATGACAGTGCCCATTCGTCTATACACAGGGTGGGTGTGGTGTCAGAGAGGCAGGAGCATATAATGGTTGGTCCTGGGCCTGCGAGGCAGGTGGCTCAGAGCTAGAGGCCTGGCTCTGCTATTTCCTCATTCTGTGATAGGGCTGAGTCCCCATTCCTCCCTGAACCTTAGTTTCCTTCTCTGTAAAATGAAGATAACAGTAATCTCTACCTTCATGTGTAGTGGTGATCTGGTAACATAATGCCTGTAAAGCACTCAGAACAGCACCTGGCACACAGAGAGCATCCCATACACTCTGGCCACCAAGGTGTGACACAACCACGGTGTCTGTGTGTGCTTGTGTGTGTGTGTCCTAGCTGTGTTAGTTTGAAGTTCTGAGTATCTGCATTGGGCAGATGTGCACAGGAGTACACACAAACATGCCTCTGTATTGGGATGTGTGACGTCCCTGTGTGGACCCATCTGACTGGACAGCTTGGTGTCCACGTGCACTCTGCATGTATGAGTATCTTGGTGTCTTGGTATCTGAGTAGATATCTATGAACAAATATTCATAAATATGCATCTTTTGTATGCTGGCATTTATTCAACATCTATTATCGGATACCTGTTATGAACTATAGACTGTTTTAAGTGCTGGGAATACAATGGTGAGCAAAATAGACAGAACCCCCTGCCCTCATGGAACTTAAACAGTCCTCAAATCCGTATCTCTATGTAAGTCTAATATACAGCAAGCCATATCATGATGAAATAAGTAAATATAATTGCTATGGAAAAAGAGAAGGCAGGAAGGAGTGAAAAAGTAGGTAGTTTACCTTTCTTTTTTTTTGAGACAGTCTTGCTCTGTCGCATGGGCTGGAGTGCAGTGGCACAATCTTGGCTCACTGCAACCTCTGCTACCTCCCAAGCTCAAGCAATTCTTGTGCCTCAGCCACCTGAGTAGCTGATACTATAGGCGTGTGCCACCAGGCCCAGCTAATTTTTGTATTTTTAGTAGTTTCACCATTTTGGTCAGACTGGTCTCAAACTCCTGGCCTGAAGTGATCCTCCCACCTCAGCCTCCCAAAGTGCTGGGATTAAAAGTGTAAACCACCACACCTGGCCAATTTACTTTAGACAGAGTCTCGCTCTCTTGCCCAGGCTGGAATGCGATGGCACAATCTCGGCTCACTACAACCTCCGCCTCCCAAGTTCAAGTGATTCTTCTGCCTCAGCCTCCTGAGTAGCTGGGATTATAGGCACTCGCCATCATGCCCGGCTAATTTTTGTACTTTTGTAGAGATGGGGTTTCACCATGTTGGCCAGGCTGGTCTCAAACTCCTGATCTCAGGTGATCTGCCCACCTCAGCTTCCCAAAGTTCTGGGATTACAGGTGTGAGCCAGCGTGCCTGGCCAAGTTTACCATTTTTTTTAACAGGAGGAGGAAGGAAAATTTCATACCTGAGGGGACACTGGAGCAATGTCCTAGTAATGGGGAGCAAGCCGTCGTTTCTCTGGGGAAGTGCACAGGAAGCAGGGGGAAGAGGGTGTGCAAAGGACCTAAGGTGCACCTGTGCTTAGGGCACTAGAGGCACCTCGAGGAGCTGGTGTGGGCAGAGTGGTGTGAAAGGTAGAGGGAGAGAAGGAAGGCATGGGCCCAACCCATCACAGGGCCACATCACGAGGCCTCAAGGAGGGCTAGAGGGTTCTGAGCACGATCTGAGTGAGGTCTGAAAGGGGTCCCCAGAAGTATCTACGTACAGAGTGTCTCTGGGTGTGACTGGGTATCTTTGTGCTCACCGCAGGGCCCGGGTATGTGCTGGCTTCACAGTTCTCCCTCCAGGACATGTTGAGGCTGCGGACAAACTCAGGGTAGAAGGGGTGGGATGTGTTGAACATGGAGAAGCCCAGGATGTTGGAGGAGTCCTCCACGATACCGTCCAGATGCAGGATAGGGAAGTCCTGGGACAAGGAAGAGGTGGTAAGGCCTGTGGCTGAGCCCTGAGTGAGACAGCTGCAGTGGGAGGGAAATGGGGGCAGAGAGGAGACAGAGGGTGTACACACCATGGTGGTGAGGATGTACTTGTAAAACGCTGAGGTCATTCCCAGTTCCGAGGCCTGGAAAACACAGGGAGGCAAAGAGGCAGAGTTAGAGACAGAGACCCACAGGCAGAGATGGAGAGGATCCAAGAGAGGAAGAGAGATTTAGAGACAAGCCTGGCAAGAAGACACCCCGTGAGAAACACAGTAAAGTGAGAAATGCTCAGACAGACAGGGAGGAAATAAGTGGGGGCAGAGGGAGGCCTTAGTCCCTGATGTCCCACCATGCTGACTGCTGTCCCAGGTGTGACAGAGTTTTTGCTAGAGGAGAGAGTAAGATCCCCCAAGTTCCCCATCTCTCATGAAGGCACTTAGAAGATGTCCTTCTGGAGATAGGCAAGGAGAAGCCTCAGAAACAGGACAGGGAGGGAAATTATCTTTTTTGTTTTTTTTTTTTTTGAGACGGAGCTTCACTCTTGTTACCCAGGCTGGAGTGCAATGGCGCGATCTTGGTTCACCGCAACCTCCGCCTCCTGGGTTCAGGCAATTTTCCTGCCTCAGCCTCCTGAGGCGCTGGGACTATAGGCATGCACCACCATGCCCAGCTAATTTTTTGTATTTTTGGTCTCGATCTCTTGACCTCGTGATCCACCTGCCTCGGCCTCCCAAAGTGCTGGGATTACAGGCTTGAGCCACCACCCCTGGCTAGTTGTTTGTTTTTAAGACAAGTTCTTGCTCTGTCACCCAGGCGGGAGTGCAGTGGTGGGATCGTAGCTGAATGCAGCCTTGACCTCAGGCTCAAGTGATCCTCCTACCTCAGCTCCTGAGTACCTGGAATCATAGGCATGCACCATGATGCCAAGCTAATTTAAAAAAAAATTTTTTTTTGTAGAGATTAAGTCTTGCTATGCTGCTCAGGCTGGTCTCAAGCTCCTGGCCTCAAGCAATCCTCCTGCCTTGGCCTCCCATAGTGATAGGATTACAGATGTGAGCCACCAGGCCCAGCAGAGAGGAGAGCCTTAATTTTAACCGCCACACTCTCCAAAAGCCATGGTTGGGCTGCTAATGAGTAGGGCTCAGCCCAGTCGTAAAGTCATAAAATCGATCTTCTGCAATCTTTAAAAGTGCTTTGCAATAATAGCAGCCAGTTTGAATGTCAAGATTCATTCTTGAGCCCCTTTTCTCATAGTCTTCAAGGAAAACAAAGCTGGAAAAACTCCCTGCCAGAAGCACCCAAGTCTGTCTCCCTACAAGAATCATAACACTAAAGGGCACCAGTTTGCATTTCCTGGGTGGCAGGGGTTGGGCTCTCATCACGTGGGTGTCAGGGAAGGGCAGGCTTGGAGAGGGAAGAGACAACTGTTCACATAGCTGTCATGGTAGTGGCCAGGATCCCAGCCCAGGCCTATCTACCTCCCACACCTGTAACCTCTTCCCTAAGCCATCCTGTCTCAAGAGCCCAGTGGATTCTGTTCACACTTCCTGTGGGCTATGTCAACAGTGACATACAATTTTTTCTTTTTTGAGACAGAATCTCACTCTGTCGCCCAAACTGGAGTGCAGTGGCACGATCTTGGCTCACTGCAACCTCCACCTCCTGGGTTCAAGTGATTCTCCTGCCTCAGACTCCCAAGTAGCTGGGACTATAGGCATGTGCCACCATGCCTGGCTAATTTTCTGTATTTTTAGTAGAGATGGGGTTTCACCGTGTTAGCCAGGATGGTCTTGATCTCCTGACCTCATGATCCGCTCACCTCAGCCTCCTGAAATGCTGAAATTACAGGCGTGAGCCATCACACCCAGCTGACATATGGCTTTAATTAAAAAAAAAATAGAGAAAATAAATAATACAAATTTGATTATGAATCAAAATTAAGATCAGTGTAGTAGAGCTGGGTGCAGTGGCTCACGCCTATAACCCCTGAACTTTGGGAGGCTGAGGCAGGAGGATCACTTGAAGCCAGGAGTTCAAGACCAGTCTGAGCAATAGTGAGACCTTGTCTCTAGTAAATAAATAAATATTAAATAAAAATAATTCTTAAAAGAGCAGGTTTGAGAGGCTGAGGCAGGTGGATCACTCGAGGTCAGGAGTTCAAGACCAGCCTGGACGACATGGTGAAACCCTGTCTCTACTAAAAAATAGAAAAATTAGCTGAGCATGGTGGCACACACCTGTAGTCCCAGCTACTTGGGAAACTGAGGGAGGAGAATCGTTTGAACCTGGGAGGCAGAGGTTGCAGCGAGCTGAGATTGCACCACTGCCCTCCAGCCTGGGTGACAGAGCAAGACTCTGTTTTAAAAAATTAATAATAAAATTAAACAAATAAATGAGCAGGGAAGCAAATGAGTGATTGGTGAGTATGGATCATTGGTAGACAGAATGTGCCAGGCCCACAGGGAAGGTCCTGGTGCTCTGGTCTCTCCCACGTGCCCTTGAGCCAGTCCTTTCCCCCTGATCCCCAGATTCTTCATCATGACATCTGTCATGTGGGGTGGGGTGAAAGACAAATTAAAGAATATCTGCAGGCCAGGTGCAGTGGCACACATTTGTAACCCCAGCATTATAGGAGGCTGAGGTAGGAGGATCACTCAAGCCTAGGAGTTTGAGCCCAGCCTGGGCAACATAGCAAGACCCAGACTCTATAAAAAATTATTTAAAAAATTAGCCAGGTGTAGTGGCACAAGCCTGTAGTCCCAGCTACTCGGGAGGCAGAGGCAGGAGGATTCTTTGAGCCAAGGAGTTTGAGGCTACAGTGAGCCAGGATCACACCACTGCGCTCCAGCCTGGGTAACAGAGCAAGAGCCTGTCTCAAAACAAAGAAAAAAGCCAGGTGCAGTGGCTCATGCTTGTAATGCCAGCACTTTGGGAGGCTGAGGTGGGTGGATCACTTGAGGTCAGGAGTTCAAGACCAGCCTGGCCAACATGGTGAAACCCTGTCTCTACTAAAAAATAAAAATAAAAAAATTACCTGAGTGTGGTGGCGGGGGCCTACTTGGGAAGCTGAGGTGGAGATCTCTTGAACTCAGGAGGTAAAGATTGCAGTGAGCCGAGATCGTGCCACTGCACTCCAGCCTGGGTGACAGAGTGAGACTCTGTCTCAAAAAGAAAAAAGAGCTCAATAAAAAATCCTTCAGAGCTATGAGGTAGCCAGCTCTGACTCTGGACCAGGCACTGCCCTACATTCTTTACCTGCCACTCACTCATTAACCCTCACAATCCACTAAGTAGGAACTACTCACAGAGAGAAGGGGTGACTGCCCAGGACCACACAACCAGGAAGCAGCCAGGCTGAGAGACAAACTTTACAATTATCATCTTCATGGAAGAAGAAGGTCTTAAAACATCTTTTTGATTCCTGAGACCCATGGGCATTTGGTGACTTAATCAGTCACCCCAAGTTTCTGGCTCCAGCCCTTTGGGAAATCAGAGATGGGAGGCTCACCTTTCGGAGGATGAGGTGGGAGATGGAGGCATTGGCGTCGATGATGATGGTGGACACCTTGTCATCACGGATCTCCTTGAGCAGCGGTGTGGGGTCTCGGCTGTCATCCAGCATCCTCACTGACAGCGTCTCCTTGGAGATGAGGAAGCCACGTACCAGTTCCTCCAATCGCAGGAGGCCTGAGGGAGGGGTGGGGCCTTGGGTTAGAGTGCTTCCGGGTGCCCAGGTGTGGTGTAGACACTCACTCCTCCTCAACATGGGACAGCTGGGCAGGGGACTGGAGGGTGTGCCAAGGACATGGGGCAGCTGGGTCCCATGGGGTAATGCTCTCAGAGACATGAAGCCTGGGCCCTCCCCAATTAAAATACCAACCTAGACCTCTTCCTAGAACTTCAGATTCCTGTCTCTGCCACCTTCTTGACCCCTCATTGGGGTGTCTAATATGCATCTCATGCTTACTCTCCTTGCTCAACCACCAAGGCTTCCCCATGTTGGTGAACAGCATCTCCAGTGTGCCAGTTGCTCAGGCCAAAACCTTGGCTTCCTCTCTTTCACATCCAATCCATCAAGACCCTATCTTCCAAACACATCAGATCCCCTCGCCCTGTGCGACTGTCACCACTCTGCCCTGAGCGACCACCAACTCCTGCCTGCTGCAATCCCCAAGCCTGCCCTTGAGTCTGTTCCCTACACAGCAACCACAATGATGCAGGTCAGGTATGTTCCTTCTCGCCTCAAATCCTTTCATGGCTTGTCAGTTCAGAGTCCTAAAGGCCAAAGTCCCCATAGCCTCCAAAGCCCCACACAACCTGCCCACCTTCCTTGTTAACTGCCCCGATTGCAGGAGTTCAAGACCAGCCTGACCAATACGCCATCTCTTAAAAAAAAAAAAAAAAAGTACTTGTTGAGTAGGTGCTCTGTGCCAGGCTCTGCTCTTGGTATCAGGGGTCAGCCGTGAGTGAAGTAAACCAGGTACAGGATGAGGAGAGGAGTTGGGCAATAAACACTGTAAATAAGTACATTACGTGGTTAGAAGTAGTGAGTTCTGTGTTAAAGCAAAAGTGAGGTATGAAGACTAGGATTCTAGAGTAAGCATGAGGGGGAACTTTAAGGAAATGGTGGGCAGGGCCCTCATTGAGACACTAGAGACTGATCCCTAATACCAAGAGCCGAGCCTGGCACACAGCAGCTATTTAATAAATATATATTTTTAACCACCCAGCCTGCAGCCCTGCCTCTCCCCATCCCTATCATTCACTCTTTGGGCTTGAGCCACATCACCCCCTCACTGTTCTACACACACCACAGTCTTGCTCCTGTCCTGTGGCCCTCACTCTGGCTGTTCCCTTGTCCTGGAACCCTCTTCTCTCACATTCTCAAATGGCTCTCTCCTTCCCCTCGTCCAGGTCTCTACTCCAAGGTCACTTTCTCAATGAGGCCTTCACCCACCATTTCATTTAAAGTTGCACCCACTCCCACACCATTCTTCATAAGTCGTTTCTACTTTTCCATAGAACTCACTACTTTTAACCACGTAATGCACTTGTTTGTGGTGTTTTTCGCCCAACTCCTCTCATCAGAATGGACTTGGACAATTTCACCCATGGCTGATCCCTAATACAAAGAGCAGTGCCTGGCACATAGCAGGTGCTCAATAGATAACTTTTTCTTGAGATGGGGTCTTGCCATGTTGCCCAGGCTGGTCTTGAACTCCTGGCCTCAAGCCATCCTCCTACCTTGGCCTCCCAAAGTGCTGGGATTACAGGCATGAGCCACCACACCTGGCCCAATAAATACTTCTTGAAGGAGGAATTCCTTTTAGAGGCAGTCCCTCCCTGCCTCAAGCTCCACAACCACAAATCTACCAGCCTACCAGACATCTCATGTGAATGTCACACCACGCCCAATGTGGGCCCCTTACGGATTGTGTTCCTCCTTGGCAGAGGTCTCTCACCATCCCTGGATCCACACTCCTCTTTCCCTCACTGCCTCTCACATCACCCTGGCCCGCTCATTCCCACTGCCACCACCTGGGCCCAGACCAGTGTTGCCTCTCCCCTGCCTTACGCTGGTCTCCGTGCCACTCCTCTTGTCAATCTCCAGTCTATTCTCTACACTGCAGCCAACAGGTTTTTCCTACAATACACATCTGACCCTGTGCCCTCACCCTGCCCTGTGTGGGGACCTCCCATGGCTCCCATCATCTCTTGCTTCGTTGTTCCCACATTTCAGCCACTGGGAGCATCCACAAGCCTCTCGAGGGGGCTGTGCTCCCTGGGCCCTCCACCTCTGCCCCTACCACACTCTCTGCTTAGAACTTGTTTCCTTTTTCTTCCCATACCCTTCAGGTTCAGCTTGGATATCACTTTCTCATAGACACAGGCTCTGAATCTCCCAGATGGATTAGGATCTCTCCTATGTAATACCAGATGCTCCACGTGCCTCCTGGCAGCACAGGTACCACTCTGTATCACAACAGCTCAACGACCTAGGACCTCCACTAGAACCAGAGTTCCAAGCACCCAGGGACCATGCCCAGGGCCTAGCAGAGGGCTTTGACATGGCAGGTGCTTAGTCACCATCTGGGGATTAAATGGGTCTCTCTGAGGAGAGCAGGGGTCTGTGGAAACAGAGGCCTCAGTTTCTGAAGATGAAGAAGAGCCTGGTGCCTGGGTGCCCTAGAATTCTAACTAGGGGCCAGTGAATGACTAGGTGGGACATCAGATCTCTTGGGAAGGAACAGAAAAGAAAACATCCAGATCTCCTCCCTCACATTCAGCCTTGGCGCAGATGAGGCTGGCCGAGGGGTAGTTGAAGGACTTGAGGATTCGGGAGACCGCCAAGCTGACGTCCTCGTTACTGGGGTACAGGCTGACAGATGCGAAGCGAAGGTACTGAAGGCGGGGTGTCTCCTCGGGACCCACCTTGATGTGGGGGATCTAGACAGAGAGGAAATTTTGGCCTCCATCCTGTTCCTCCGTCCAGCCCTTGCCCCGGAGGGAACCGCTTCCCGCCACAGCACCAGCCCACACTCCCCACCTCACCTCCTTCTCCCCACAGATATGGCTCACGGTGGAGGCAGATGCTGGGCTGGAAGAGGGCCCCAGGACAGACACGACCCCTTTGGGCAGGATCTGACACACTGCAAGGGACAGGGAAGAGACCACAGAGTCAGGGACTCCCTGCCTCCTCTCCTTCCTCATCCCCCAGGGAGCCACCATGGCCCAGGATAGGATCAGACACTGGCAACTGCCTGATCCTCTTCTGCCATCTGGGACCCAGAGGGCCAGTCTCTGACCCCACCCAACAAGTGAACATGAGGGGGCATGAGACAGAGAGAGATGAGGACAAAGCAACAGAGGGAGAGGTCAGGCCAAGGGAGATCAAAGGAAGGGATAAAGAGAAAAGAGACACCAGGGGCCTTCTCTGCCTGCAAAGCCTGTGCCTAGTCCCTCAGCTGCTGTGTTGTTCTCAACCTTTTTAGCCGTGCCACAGTCTATGGTGCACTCACCAACTTCTCCCCTAACCCTGCAGCCCAGGTCCCCTGGATCCTCTCCACACTCCAAACACCACTCTCCTGCCACACTTACTTCCTCCTCTTTCTTCTGCTTTCTTCCTCCTTAGACACATGTATGTCTCAAAACTCAGAGGAAGATAGCGCTGTTTTGCCTGTCCAGCGCCTGTTCTCATAGCAGAATCTTAACTTCTCCTGGGGGAACTATTCCCCACCCTTCAGTCCAGGGTTTCCAGGATTGACTGGCACCTGATGCAGGACTTGGGGAGTCACAGAACCCCATTCTCTGAGCCATGGCAACCGGTTCAGAGATGCACATGGGCTCAAATCAGAACATGCAGCTCCTTCCCCAGGTCTTTTGCTACAATTATCACTGAGTTTGCTAAACTTTTGAGATGTAAGCTTGGTGATGCTGGGGCCATCTTGCCACCAGTTGAGAGACCATTTCTGAAAACGAAGCCAACTCAGAGGAGAGCAGGCCCCAGAGGTAAAGACACGGAAAGACTGCCAGGATGTCATTTGAATGCCTGGATCCAGCCATGCCTGAAACAAGCCTAGGATATCATTTGAACACCTGGATTCAGTCATGCCTGAAATTTGTCCTTAGGTCTTTTAGTGACTGTGAGCTAATAAGTTCTCTTTCTTCCTTAAACCAGGCTGAGCTGGATTTCTACCACATCTAACTAAAGGCATAACTGAACACCTCATTTCCTCCAAACTGGCTTCTTCTGGACCTTCCACACTGGTGAGGGCTCCACCATTCACACAGACCAGATGCCCAAAAAAGGTCCTTGTTTTCGATCTCTCTCCTGACAGCCAATTAGTCACCACATCCTCTCTTCTTTGACCTCAAATTATCTCACATCTGTCCCTTTCTCTTTAACCCCTTGGCCCCTGCCCTAGTTTAGGACCCTCATTTCAGGCATATACCAGAATCTTCACTCATTACCCAAATCCAGCCTCCAGATTCTCTTTACAGAGGCCTTAATCCCAGGTACAGACCTATCAGTGGCTTCCCAGTGCCTGTGGGTGAAGGCAGCATCTTCCACCCTGGCACTGTAGCCTCCTTGAGCCATCCTGATGATCTGCACAGCCTCACTTCCTACTGCCCTGTCATACTTAGCCCTGACATCTCACAATCTCTCCAAATATGTCCAGGTGGATTCAGGATGGGCTCAACTGCACACCCATTCCTTGGCTCCAAACACTTCCCTCTGCTTCCACCCTGATCCCCACCCCATCTCCAGACTCTAGGCACATGCCTGGAATGCCATCTTCCTCCTCACCCTCCATCCCAGCTTCTCCCAAATTGTACTGTGTGCCACACCAGCCAAAAAAGCCTGTGAAATGCCATAGCCCATTCTCCCTCTTGGTAATTTGAAACGTACACGAACACCATAAAGCCTTTGATAAGGCCTGCAGGAAAGAAACCTGTCTAAAACATGCTTTATGGCAGCATCTCCCAAAGGTCTAACTCCTTCACATCTGTTCAAGTGACACCTTTGAACATTCAGCCCATCAGTATTCCACAGACACTTCCACACCCCCGTCATGTGGCCAGCTGTGCTTGGAGCCATGCCACTCTTTCTACATCCCGTTCACCTTTCAGAGCTCAGCTTCAGACTAGCCTTCTCCAGAATGCCTTTGCTGACCCTCACCTGAGGCTCCTGCCCTCGATGTCTGGGGCTTGTTATTAAGCTCTGAGGACTAACAAGCATCCGCAGCCAGCTGGGATGGTAGGGCTTATCTTTCCAATGCTGCCCTGCGCTCCCCCAGAGCAGAACTGGGGCTTATGCTCTCCCTCCTCTCCAACCCAGCAGCCATGTCTGGGAAGAAGGCGGAGACAGACAGGAAGGAAGGGGGAAGATGGAGCTAGAAGAGGACAAGGCCAGGCTAGAGGCTGGGGGCAGAGGGACTGACTGAGGGCCACCGGCCTGCCCTGCCTCACCCCACGCCCCCATGGCCCCGCTCACTGGTGTCCGTGGTCTCGTACTGGCTGTCCCGCTGCAGCTCAAAGATGTCTACTTCCACTCGGGCCTTGGCTGGGACCTCAATGATCCCGTTGATCTGCTCCCGGGCCAGGGCCAAGGCCAGACGCTCACCACGGCCACACACTGTCTGATCATCCAGGATTGCAGCTGAGGGGACATGGGGGTTGGGGACCAGACTCCTGAGTCCTGAGGAAGGAGGGGGCTCAGGTCTTGGACTCCTGGGCTCTAGATGAGGTGGGTGCAGGGACCAGGAGTCTAGACACCTAGATCTGAGGTTGGTGGAAGCTAGGGGTCTGGACTCCTGGGTCCCAGGGGAAGGAGGAACTAGAGGCTGGGACCTGTTGATGCTGAAGAGAGCTGAGACCCAACTCTCTTGAGGGATTGGGATGCCTGGGTCCCCAGAGGAGCCCCAGGGCCTGACGGGAGGGTCTCTGAGGATGCAAGGGCAGGGTGCGGGAGGGCCTCACCCATGCGCAGTGATGAGAGCACCTGGCAGCTGGGGCTGGCGAAGGCAACAATCAGCAGCAGCAGCAGCTCAGCCGGCATCTTCCTCCCCTCCTCATGGGGACGCAGCTGCCGCGGCCCCCACTCGCCACCTGCAGGGAGACCCCACAGCCCGGGGGAGACTGCTATGTGGGGGATGGAACCCTTTGGAGGCCTGCTGGATGGGGTGGTCACTGAAGCCTTGGGGACATTGTGGGTGAGCAGTTCACAGCTCTGCAGAGCCCTGCTCTGTTTAGAAGCTGACAATACTGAAGGCATTGGGAGAATGGAAGCTCAGCTCAGAGGGACACTACCAGAGCGGAGGTCACAGTGCTCAGGCTCTGAGTGGGACAGGCTGCAAGAGAGAGGATGGGCACAGCTACCAAAGCAGGAGGGAGGCATGTGAGGATCTGAGATGGGAGTAAATTCCAGGGACCAGACCCACCCTAATAGGAAACCAGGAAGTGCCACCCCCCCACCCAGTCCCGCCCCTGTCTCTGGGCAGGCAGCTGTTACTAGGCAACAGAAACTGGCTGGAGAGGATGCGGTGGTTGCTAGGCAACCCCATCCCAGGCCTCACTTGCCACTTTCCTGACGTCCCTGGTTCCCACAATCCCATGGGGAAAGAGGCCTGGATATCTGAGGTCTGGAGGGGAGAGTATCCAGAGTTAGGAAACTTTCGGAAAGATGGAGAGATGGAGAAAAAGAGTGACGGTGAGAGAGAGAGAAAGAGAGAGAGAGACAGAGAGAGAGAGGTACACACAGAGCCTCACAGATGAATGGACCCAGAGTACTAAAAGGGCTAAAAAAAAAAAAAAAAAGAGCAAAGAGAGAGAAGGGAAGAAACAGAGAGAGACAGAGAAAGAGAGGCTTAGAAAGGGGAAAGACAGAAAAAGAGAAAGGACAAAATAGAAACACAAGGGAAGAAAAGACAGCAAGACAACAAGAATACGGGGATAGAAATGGAGACAAACAGAGAAGGAGAGATACAGGAAGCTAGGGAGAGGACTAGGAGAGAGAAAGAGGGAAGAGACAGGAGGATGGGGACGCAAAATAGAAGCAAGGACAGAGCAGGGAGAGGAAGAGAGAGGGGCAGGCTGGAGAGGAGGAACCAAGGCACAGGCGAGACACAGGAAGAGTGAGACAGAGGATGGAGAAAAGATACGAACCGACTCTGATACAAGCAGGAAGGGCTGGAATGGAGGAGTAAAGCAGGGAGTGGGCTGCCTGCCAGAAGTGGGTGCGAAGCCACTGCCCCCCAACTCTGAAGGGGAGCAGAAGTAAAAGGGGAGATGGTGCATCTTTGCTCCTAACAGCTCTCCACCCCCAAGGAGTCAGGGATTCTTTCAGGCACCCCGGCCTTCTGCAAGGCAACCGTTGGGCAAGGAGTTTGGCCAGATGCACAGCTCCATTCCCCCTGGCCAAGGGCTATGCCCCAAGGGAAGGGATTCTTGAGTTTTTATGAAGTAGGATTACTGTGGGGGCCCAGAATGCTGTGAGGTGGGCCTGGACCTTGGACCCCACTCAATGCCCATGAAAGGAGAGCTTGAGCTGGTGAAACTGTGGAATGAGAACTTCGAGGGAAGGACAGAAGCACAAGTCCTTCTGACCATCTCAAGTGGCCTGGAAAACCCAGGCTGGGGATCGGTCCCAGCTCTGCCCGCAACTCACTGAGTGATACTGAGCAAGTCACCACTCTCTGGGCCTCTGAGAAAGAGAGGGTGCAGAGTAGGAGAGCATGCTGGACAAGCTGGGGACTGCAAACTATAATGTGGATTAAGGTGAAGGCTTGTCAAGGATGGAGGCGCAAGGGATGCTGGGAGACCCGGAAGGAGCGCTCACAGTGGGAGGAGTGTGAAGGGCGGGGCTAGGAGAGAGGTAGGAGTGGAGTGGGTCATGCTAAGACACCAGGGACTCCTGGGGCAAAAAGGGAGCAGAGGACAGATAGACCGAGGGAGATGGCCGGGCACAGTGGCTCAAACCTGTAATCCCAGCACTTTGGGAGGCCGAGGTGGGTGGATCACAAGGTCAAGAGACCGAGACCATCCTGGTCAACATGGTGAAACCCTGTCTCTATTAAAAAATACAAAAAATTAGCTGGGCATGGTGGCACATGCCTGTAATCCCAGCTACTCAGGAGGCTGAGGCAGGAGAATTGCCTGAACCCAGGAGGCGGAGGTTGCGGTGAGCTGAGATCGCGCCATTGCACTCCAGCCTGGGTAACAAGAGTGAAACTCTGTCTCAAAAAAAAAAAGAAAGACCGAGGAAGAGATGGAGCAGAAGGACAGAGACCCACAGGTGGCAGGCAAAGGTGGGAGCAGACAGAGAAAGACTATATATAGGACAGGGTTGAAGGGGCAGCAGGTGGACATAAATACACAGAAAAACAGCCCAAGAGGTAGAAACTGAGGCTATGTGAGAGAGCAAGACACAGACACAGCCTAGAAGCAAGACACCAAAAGGGATAGAGTCAGGGTGTCAGGCGGCCCAGGACTCACAGACCCAGAGGCTGGGCAAAGACAGATAAAAGTCAAAACCCAGCAGAGAGCTGAGCAACAGGGCCCCCCCATGGAGAGAGACACACAAGTGGGCAAAGGAGAGACATCAGCGAAGGCGAGAGGCAAGGAGGGCCAGCAAAGGCACATGGGGTGAGGGAGAAGGTAAAGGAAGATAAAGAAATAGCAGCAGGCACAAGACTTGGGAGGAGGAGAGAAACGGCCAAACTCTGCGCAAAGAGGACCAGCTGGAAAGAGAGAGACAGTATGTCAGAGTTGCACAGCAAGCCCATAGAAAAGAAAGGGGCAAGGGGGAAAAGTACCTGGAAGAGAGAAAGGGGGAGTCAAGGAGGGAAACTGAGTCAGGGCCCACAGTAATCCTACTCCACAGAAACTCAAGAATCCCTTCCCTTGGGGCATAGCCCTTGGCCAGGAGTCAGGGAGGTGGAGTGAGTTCCCTAGAGGAGCACAGGCAAGCGCCTATAGGAGGGGCCAGGCCCACACAGAGGCACAGCCACCCCAAGACACTCAGGAATGCCCTGTGGGGGAGCAGGCAATCCCAGGGCCCGAAAGCCCCCAGACAAGGAGAGGAATGGGAGCAGAAAGGCCACACGAGGTAACGCAGAAGTGGGAGAGAGGAAGGGAGTGGGAAGAGCCAGACCAGCCAGGAAAAGTCACCATGGACCACAGAAAGGTGGGGCAGCAGCTAAGGAGGGTGGGATGGAGGAGCCAGGCATTCAGAGTGGCTCTGGAGGAAAGAGGTGGAAAAGTGAGAGAGGAAAGACAGACTCCCAGCCCAGAGGCAGAGAAAGGAAGGAGAAGAAGTAAACAGAGGCACAGAATGGAAAGAGAGAAGTAGAAGAAGACCTGCTAAGGGGGGCCTCTGAAAGAGGAAAGCCAGGGGCAAGGAGTTCGGATAGAAAGAGGAATGTAAACAGAGACATGCCAAGAGCAGCCTGGGGTAACAGCAAAGAAGAGAGAAGTTGGGCAGAGTCAGAGACTGGACCCAAGAGACATAGGAAATGGGGGCTCAAAAACGGAAAGACATCTGCAGGAGACAGAGACTGGATGGGATGGGGACAGGACCAGGGCCCACAGCAGGCAGAGGATGAGGATCAGAGGAATGCAAACAGCTAGTCTGGGACCAGGACGGAGGCTTGGAGACAGCAGGGGCACGGACGTGCCAGGGGTCGGGGCAAGTGACAGCCCGAGTAAGAGCAGTCAGCCACCTAGGACCCAAGAAAGCTGGGGGGCCAGGGGTGGCAGTGAGCTGTGTACCCAAAAGAAGAGGCAAGAAAAGGTTGAGGTGAATGGAGGCTGAGGAGATGGAGGGTGCAGAGCAGGCCCCTAGTGGGGGAGGGTACTTGCCAGTCCGGAGAAAGGGGAGAATGCGGCCCCCCACCCACCAAGCGGCACCGAGCCCAGCCTTCCAGGACCCAAAACCCAGCCCAATCCCCGCCCTACAGACACTCACGGATCCTGGTGGGACGGAGGGCTGGGCTCCCTCGAGGCCCGAGAACCGACAGCAGGAGGTGCTCCGGCGCTGGGTGGCAGTGGGGCTGGGCGGGGGGAGAGGGCAGTCCACAGGGCCCCCTCCCCCGCCGCTGGCAGTGGCCCCCAACTAATCCAAAACGGTGGCTCCACAGGAGCAGGGAGGAAGGACAGGTGGAAAAGGAGAGGGCGGGCCGGGGAGGGGAAGAAGGGGAAAGGAGAAAATGGAGGAGAGAAGGGGAGACAGGAAAGGGGGAAGGAGCAAATGGAGGGGAAGGAGGGAGGAAAGGAGGAGAGGAAGGTGAAAACGGAAGGGGGGGCACAGGCAAAGCCGGGGGAGGGGGAAGCCGGCCCGGGAAAGGGCCCCCGCCCCCTCCCCTAGCCGGGCCGGCCTTGGGGGGCCACAGGGGGCGAGGATTGGGTGGAGAAAAGGAAGCTGGCCATCAGGAGAAGTGGGGGAGGGGAGGGCCTGCTGGGGGAGGGGGCCGCCCCCTTCCCCCCTCCCCCCTGGAGCCTGGGCCCTGCCCTGGTTGAGGCAAGGGCCCCGGAGTCCTCAAGCCCTCAGCCCCCACGGAAAAGCATGCTGGGGGCGGGGAAGAGCCCTGGAGTGGAGGGCGAGAGAGGTTGGAGAGCTGGGAGACCCGGAAAGGCCGAGAAGGGGGCAAATGAGGTGGAGAGAGAGGGAGGAGGGAGAGGAGGAGGGAAAGGAGGATACAGAGGAGCAGGTGGAAGAGAAAGGCGGAGGAGGGTGGGGTGTCCCAGGGGCTCCCGGCACTGGGCCTCAGTGGGAGGGCCTGTCCATAGACTCCTGGTCCCCTGTGAGAAGCCTCCGCCGGCTTCAGTCCCCGGCTGGGCCTGCCTCCCTGCCGCCACTGCTCAGTCTCTCCTCTGAGGCCACCGCCTGCCTGCCTGCCTGCCTGCCGGCCTGCCGCCCAAGCTAGGTCCTGGATCACAGGGGGGGTTGGGGGGAGAGAGAAGAGGGAGGGAGGGAGGCAGGGAGGAGGGTGGGGAGGAGGAAGGAAGGGAGGCAGGCGGAGAGCGAGGAGGGAGGGGAGTCAGAGGAGGTGGAGCCCTTATTGGTTGGGGCTGCTCCCCCCTCCCCCACCAAGGAGAATGTTGATGAGAAGCAGCAGCTGCATTGGATGGAGGGCCCACCCCCTGGCCACCCTCTCTACCACCCCATGCCGCCACCCTGCCCAGGCAGCCCTGGGCACAGGAGCCTACAGAGATGAGAGGCAAGAAGACCTGGGGAGAAGGCCACTGAGATGGAGGGAGAGGGCTACAGAGATGAAGAAAAATGAAGAGAGATAGCCATCAAGACTGTCCAGAGAAGTGGGCCGAGGCCCACAAACCCCACAAAGGCAAGGACAGGAAGAGTCCCGGGATAAGAAAGAAAGGCCCATGGAGACAAGGGAGCAGCCCGCAGAGACAAGCAAAAGGACCTTGGAGACCAGGGCAGTGTGTGGACACAGAGACCTCACGTGAAGGAAAACACGGGAGAAGCCAGAGACACTAGAGAGAGGCCCCCAGAAACAGAAAGCACTCCTCAGATATGGGGAACAGTCCACAGGGGCAGGGAGAGAGCCAAGGAGAGCTGAAGAAGGTCACAGAAACAAGGGAGGCCTACAGCCACAAAGGGACCACAAAGACAAGGATGTGGCTCATAGACATAGGAGAGCCACTGAGGCAGGAGCTGCCAGCCTGGAGATGCGAGGGAAGCCTCCCCCAATAGAAATAGCTCCTACAGAGGTGAGGGATGGGTGGTGAGTATGAGAATTCTCTGTCGTGCATAGAGAAATCCTTGGGACCCTCAGAGATGAGTGGGTGGAGAGAAGGGACCCTCATTCTCTAGTGGCAGGAGCGGAAAGGCAGTGGGTAAGGTTGATGGGACAAGGACAGAAGCTGGAGGGCAGAGCCAGGAGAAGTGGGAGACTCCTTCCCAGGGAACACTCTGCAGCATTTCAGGAGCCAAGCAGGGCAGGGGGATGGAAGAGAGAAGCGACACAGATCTTGGAGTGGGGGTGGGTGGTACATGGTTGGGTGGGGGGTGAAATTTGAGGGGAAGAAACATGACAGTTGGTGCTGAAGGCTGAGCCCGTGACTCACCACCACCCCCGATGCTCGTGATGGGGAGGAGACACTGACACACTCACGTGTGGCCCACAGCACATGTGACCACATGCCTCGAACACACAGCTGGCACATGGCAACTCCTGGACCACATGTCAGCCTAGCACGGGAAGCCCTCTACAAGCTGGCATGTGGGGCATCCTGGACACACATCTGACACATATATCTGATGCTGAAGGACTGCCAACTTTGCACACACCTCCTTATCCCACTTGGTCAACATCAATACCCACCCCCCAAACACCTACACTCAGCTCGTCAGGCTTGAAAGCCCAGACTCACACTCGCCTCTAGGACTTTGCTTATGCAGGACCTCAACACAGAACACCATCCTCTCAACTAGAGCAGTGGCTCATGCCTGTAAACCCAGCACTTTAGGAGGCTGAGGCAGGTGGACCACCTGGGGTCGGGCCTAGGAGACAGAGCAAGACTCATCTCCAAAAAAAAAAAAACCACCACCCACTCAAAATTCAACCTGTCCCCGAAATCCTAGCCAGTCCTGTGCTATCACCTTCAGAAGGACCAGTCCAGGCCTCAGTTCATTCCTATATCGTCTGGAAAGACAGACCTACGCAACCCAAATCAAGTTGGGAAGTCGAAGCAAAAGGCCTGAGAAGTCACCCAGATATTCAGATTTTCTTTTTTGAAACAGTGTTTCACTCTTGCTGCCCAGGCTGCAGTGCAATGGCGTGATCTTGGCTCACTGCAACCTCCATCTTCCGGGTTCAAGTGATTCTCCTATCTCAGCCTCTCAACTAGCTGGAATTACAGGCAGGCACCACCACCCCTGGCTAATTTTGTATGTTTAGTAGAGACAGGGTTTCTCCATGTTGGTCAGACTGGTTTCTAACTCCCGACCTCAGGTGATCTGCCCACCTTGGTCTCCCAAAGTGCTGGGATTACAGGCTGAGCCGCCGCACCTGGCCTGATCCTCAGATTTTTCAAGTGGGGAAAAGGAGGTTTCAGCAGGAGCAAGAATCTGCCCAATATCACACAGTCTATCAAAGACTGGGCAAGGCTTCCACTACTCTGGTACCTACCCCAGGTGATTTTGCTCTAAGGCAAACCCAGACTGATTCAGAGTAGGCCGGGCCTAGCTTTAGCTCATTAATTTCCACCAACTCTTTACTTCTTGCATTCATGCCTTCAACATGCAACCACTTGAACTTCAGGTGAGCCAGGGGACCAAGAGTGTAGATCCTGGGTTGGAATCCTGACTCTTCCTAACTGTGGGAACTATGACTAGTTACTTCTCTAGGCCTCGATGTTTTGTAAAGTCAGCCTGAGTTTCTCCCTCATAGCGTAGTTAGGAGGATTAAGCTGAATAATGCACGTAAGCACTGAGTATAATACCTAACATGTCATAGTACACTCAAGAGATACTAGTTATTATTAGGTTTCCGGAGACACTAATAAAAATAACAACTGGCCAGGCACAGTGGCTTATACATGTAATCCCACCATTTTAAGAGGCCAAGGCAGGATGGCTTGAGCCCAGAGTTCCAAGACCAGCCTGGGCAACATGGTGGGACCCTATCTCTGAAAAAAACAAAACAAAAAAAACGCAGTCGTGGTGGCAGTGGATCATGCCTAGAATTCCAGCACTTTGGGAGGCCGAGGCGGATGGGTAACGAGGTCAGGAGTTCAAGACTAGCCTGGTCAAGATGGTGAAACCCCATCTCTACTAAAAATACCAAAAATTAGCTGGGCATGGTGGTGGGAGTCTGTAATCCCAGCTATTCGGGAGATGGATGCTGAGAATTGCTTGAGCCTGGGAGGCAGAGGTTGCAGTCAGCTGAGATCAGGCCACTGTACTCCAGCCTGGGTGACAGAGCCAGACTGTCTTAGAAACAACAGGCTGGTCACAGTGGCTCAAGCCTGTAATCCCAGCACTTTGGGAGACCCAGGCGGGTGGATCACGAGGTCAAGAGATCGAGACCATCCTGGTCAACATGGTGAAACCCTGTCTCTACTAAAAATATAAAAAATTAGCTGGGCATGGTGGCGCATGCCTGTAATCCCAGCTACTCAGGAGGCTGAGGCAGGAGAATTGCCTGAACCCAGGAGGGAGGTTGTGGTGAGCCGAGATCATGCCATTGCACTCAAGCCTGGGTAACAAGAGTGAAACTCCATATCGAAAAAAAAAAAAAAATTAGGGGCTAGGGGTGGTGACTCACACCTGTAATCCCAACACTTTGGGAGGCTGAGTGGGGTGGAACACCTAAGGTCAGGAGTTCCAGACCAGTCTGGCCAACATGGCAAAACCCTGCCTCCACGAAAAATACAAAAATTAGCCACCCATGGTGGTGTGCAACTGTAGTCCCAGCTACTTGGGAGGCCGAGGCAGGAGAATTGCTTGAACCTAGGAGGCAGAGGTTGCAGTAAGCCGAGCTCGCAGTAAGCCAAGCTCGTGCCATCGCACTCCAGCCTGTGTGGTGGGCAACAGAGTGAGACCGTCTCCAATAAATAAATAAATTTTAGATATCCAGATACCTTTTTTTTTTTTTTCAGAGATAAAAAAGCACTCCGGCTCTTGTACCGCAGGCTAGAGTGCAATGGCACGATCTCAGCTCACTGCAACCTCTGCCTCCAGGGTTCAAGTGATTCACCTGGCTCATCCTCCCAAGTGGCTGGGATTACAGGCACATGCCACCTTATCTGGCTAATTTTTGTATTTTTAGTAGAGACAGGGTTTCACCATGTTGGCTGGCTGGTCTCGAACTCCTGACCACAGGTGATCCACCTGCCTCGGCCTCCCAAAGTGTTGGGATTACAGGCGTGAGCCACTGCGCCCAGCTAAAATATCTTTTACTCTGTGCCTCAAAACCACCATGAGATGGGCTATTAGCCCCATTTCACAGATGAGAAACTTAGACACAGGACAGTTAATTTCTTCTAGAACCCGGATTCTAATGCGGGAATCTGTTTTAACTATACAGGCCTGATGTTAGGGAATTTAATCCACGAGAAAGATAGGACATCTGGAGACCAAATGGCCACAGCAAAACAGACGAATGGCATCAGGTAGGTAAATAAATAATCCAATTCTGAGATTCAGTTTCCTCATCCGAGAAATTGAAACTCTTCTGTGCTTGGGTTCAGGGAGTAGGTCCGGAAATCTTTTTTTTTTTTTTTTTTTTATTTTAGATGGAGTCTCGCTCTGTCGCCCAGGCTTGAGCGTACTGGCGCGATTTCGGCTCACTGCAACCTCGGCCTCCTGGGTGCAACCAAATCTCGAGCCTCGGCCTCCCGAGTTCCTAGGATTACAAGTACACGCCCATGCCCAGCTAATTTTTTGTATTTTTAGTAAAGACGGTGGTTTCACCATGTTGGCCAGGTGGGTCTTGAACACCTGACCTCAAGTGATCCACCCGCCTCAGCCTCCCAAAGTGCTGGAATTACAAGCGTGAGCCACCGCGCCCTGCCTGGAAACTTTTTACTGGGGCAACTCCCTCCCAAGACCGAGCGTCGCAGGAACAAGGTGAGTAGGAATGGCCAGAGCCCTTGGAGACATGAGAACTATAAGGGTCAGAGTCACCCCGGAAGGAGGCGCTACCTGCTCACTTCCTTCAGGCCCTCACCCCGATTGTCCTTCAGGTCCTCTACCCGCCACGTTCCGTTTCTTCCAATGAAACCGCCTGTCCCTGCTGCTCCTTTTTCTCCATATCCCCGCTCTCCTTGCTTCCCCTCTGACATTTCTCCTCTCTCTACCTCCCAAAAGTCCCCTCGGTCTTTTCCCTGTTTCTTCCTGTGGCCTTCATTACCCTCCTTTTAATAAAGTGAGTCTGGAGTCCTGGTTTCCTTTTCTCCCTCCATGTGACTGGTGCTGCAGTTTGCCCTCTTCCCATCGTGCTGAGTGGTTTCACTTTCTCCCTCTGACCCTCGGGGAAACCACAGAGGCTCCCGTGCCTCCAATCCGCCGCTCCAACCCCCAGGGTGCCGCACGCCTCAATTTCGCAGCCTCTCCTCTTCCCTCTCCCTGACCCCAACGCTGACTCCCTCACGGAACCCCCAAGATGGCGCCTGCGGCGGCGCTCCGCCGCCTGACGTCATCGCACCGCCCCTCGCTCAGAGCTCCCTTCTGGAGCCGTCGGAGGCGGAGTCGAGGAGGAGGAGGAGCATCCTCTAGGGAGGATTAAAGGGGCGGGTACTATCCACCCGAGGGCCGACCGGTGAGGGAACGTCGCTAAAGGATTGGTTGGGCGCTGCAGGGGAATCTCGACGCTCTTCACTATTGGCTCAAGCCCCAGAGATATAAACGTCGATTGGCCGAACGGTAGGGCCCGAGCGGACGATGATTGGTTGCGTCCGGCCGTCCGCACGGCGGCCGAGGAAGAAGATGGGAGGGGCGTTGCCGAGGGTAGCTGGCGGCGAGAGCGAGGCTGCGGAGCAGGCGAGAGGCGACGGTGAGAGCTAGAGCGGGCGCAGCGCTAGGGTGGCCGTGCAAGGGGACCCGTGGCCCGCGCCCGGGCCCGGGGCGGGCGAGACGGCGGAGGCAGGTGAGTGCGAGCGGGCGCGCGGAGGCTGGCCGGGCTGCCCTCCCTGCCGCCGCGGCCTCCTCTTGCCAGGCCGCCTGCGCAGTGAGGGCCTGAGGGAGCGCGCGCCGGGCAGTTAGGGCGGAACGGCACCAACCACCGACCTGGCGCGCGGGCGGCCGGGCGGGGGCCGGGCCGGGGCGGGGGGGGGGGAAGGGGTGTGGAGTCGCATGCGGGGCTGAGTGAGGAGGGGCGGGGCTCGGGCTGGGGCCTTGGCGGGACACCTGGGCGGGAAGGGGAGGCCTCAGAGCTGCCCCAGGAGGGCTCCGCGGCTTCCCAGGGTTTGGGGTAAAGGACTTGGTGTCGTGTTAAGTTCAGGACGAAGGGGCTGGGCCGGTTAGACGGTACTGGGGTGTCCGGTGAGGGGCTTAACGTGTGAGAAAGATAATTAAGTTAACCAAGCGGGGGAAATAGTTCTTCCTGGAAAGAATTGGGGCGGTGAGAGGGGTCTTGATGTGAAAAGATATTAGGAAATAGATACCCCAAGGGAGCGCTTTAGAGCTAAGGAGGAGTCCAGTTGTGACGGATTAGGTTAAATTAATGTAAAGAAACCTTAAACCAATGTGGGTACATTGGGAATATGGGATGTATTTACCATCGGGAGGTTGGGTACCCTTGGAATGCGTGGAGAGGGGTCTCTGTACAAAGAAGGGTTATGTGTATGTGAAAAGGGTGTCTGGGTGTCCCTGGAATGAGCTAGGGAAGGTAGTCTTTTGTAAGTTCAGGTAATTAGGCCAAGGTGAAGATGGGATTTGGTTATTGGAAGGAGAGGAAGTAAAGTGAGAGAGATCTGTGTGCTAAAGTGAGAGGTGTCTGGGAATTCCTGGAATGAGACCGAGATGTTAGGTTGCTAAGAGGTTTGGGGTCTGAGTACCCCTTAGAGTAGTAGGCTGGTGAGAGGGGTTTGAGTGTTGAGGAAGAGGGGTCTGCTGGATTAGGGTGGTGATAAGGGTTCTGCATGAGAACAGGAGGTTCGGGTATCCCTAAAGGGAATTTGGGCAACGAGAGGGGTGAGCGTAAGAGGAACTTAAGCCATTGTGAAGGATGGTCTGGTTATCGCTGGAATGGGTTAGAGTGCCTGTGGATCTTTATGAAAAGAAGAGGAGTGGCCGGGCGCGGTGGCTCAAGCCTGTAATCCCAGCACTTTGGGAGTCCGAGGCGGGTGGATCACGAGGTCAAGAGATCAAGACCATCCCGGTCAACATGGTGAAACCCGTCTCTACTAAAAATACAAAAAAATTAGCTGGGCATGGTGGCGCGTAATCCCAGCTACTCAGAAGGCTGAGGCAGGAGAATTGCCTGAACCCAGGAGGCGGAGGTTGTGGTGAGCCGAGATCGCGCCATTGCACTCCAGCCTGGGTAACAAGAGTGAAACTCTGTCTCAAAAAAAAAAGAAAGAAAGAAAGAAAAGAAGAGGAGTTATGTTGCTAGGAAGAGGAGGGTCTGAGCATCCCTAGAATGGGTGAGGTTGAGTTAGGTCTTTTAGCAAATTAAAAAAGATTAGGTTCTGGCCGGGCAAGGTGGCTCACGCCTATAATCCCAGCACTTTGGGAGGCCGAGGCGGGTGGATCACGAGGTCAAGAGATCAAGACCATCCTGGTCAACATGGTGAAACCCTGTCTCTACTAAAAATACAAAAATTAGCTGGGCATGGTGGTGCGCACCTGTAGTCCCAGCTACTCGGGAGGCTGAGGCAGGAGAATTGCCTGAACCCAGGAGGCGGAGGTTGCGGTGAGCCAAGATCACGCCATTGCACTCCAGTCTGGGTAACAACAGCAAGACTCTGTCTCAAAAAAAAAAAAAAAAAAAAGGTTAGGTTAACAATGTGAAGGAGGATCTGGATATTCCTTGGATGGATTAAGGTGGGCCTGTTGGCAGGAGGTTGATAAGTTGGTATGAAGTGAGGTTATGGGTGTCCCTGAATGAGTGGCTGTGTATGAACAGGAAGGGTTTAAATCAATGGGAACGGGATCTGGGTATCCCAGAGGGGATTATAATTGGCAGTTTGGTCTTGGTACAAAGAAGAGGTGATGAATGTAAAGAGTGGATAGATATCCTGGAGACAGGAGTTAGGGTAAGGGGAGGTTCTAGGTCTGAAGCGAAGAGTAGGCGTTTGTGAAAATGGGTCTGGGTATTCTGGATAGGGGGTTTGGGTTGTAGGAGAAGGCCTTGATTTGTAGAGTAGGTTAAGTAATTAAACAAGGCTGGGTATCATGAAGTGGTTAAGGTGGGCAAAGTCTGGGTGTGGAGATGGGTTAGGGCAGTGTGAGAAAATTTGATTGCCAGGAAGGGATAGTCTGATGTGAGGAACCCGGGCACCCAAGTAAGAGTTAGTGGGTAGTGGGGGTTTCGTGTAGAGGGGAGGGTTGGAACCGTTTACAGTGCTGAAAGTGGAGTGGTGGGGCATTGGGCAGTTTGAGTGGTCTGGGTATAAAAAGAAGTCTGAGAATCTGGGAGGAGTGGAGCCCATGGGAAGGGTGTTGCTGGGAAAAACAGGTGGGAAAGGCCTATATGAGTTTTCGTTTGGGTGCCTTGGAGAGGAATGGGATGACGTGAGTTGCTAAGAAAAGGAGTCAGTGGAAGGAGGTTTAAGTGGAGGTTCCAGTGTGCTGGGCTGAGCTGTGGGGCCCACTGAGAGGTGTGGGAGATGAGGGGACTGGAAGGGTGACAAGGATCTGGTGGGTGGAATTTGATGCAAGTTGATTCAGAGGTGAGACTGTGGGTAGATTCCTGGGGAAGGGATTGCCTGGAAGATTTTGTGTTTGGTGTTTATTAGGTTGAAGGGAGGGAGGATTATTAGGAGAGAGGGAGGCAGAATTTTAAAAATCAAAGGAAGAAGTTAGGGAGAAGCAGATCTAAGGTATTGGGAGTGGAGAGTGATAAAGGGAAGAGCTGAGGAATCAGTGACCCAACTGGTTTGTCCCCACTGTCCCTTCTTCCAGCCCAGGGCCTTGCTGCCACCATGACTGAGGAGTCAGAAGAGACAGTCCTGTACATTGAGCACCGCTATGTCTGCTCTGAGTGCAACCAGCTTTATGGATCCCTGGAAGAGGTGCTCATGCACCAAAACTCCCACGTGCCCCAGCAGCACTTTGAGCTGGTGGGCGTGGCTGACCCTGGAGTCACTGTGGCCACGGAGGCAGCTTCAGGCACAGGCCTCTATCAGACCCTTGTGCAGGAGAGCCAGTACCAGTGCCTGGAGTGTGGTCAACTGCTGATGTCACCCAGCCAGCTCCTGGAGCACCAGGAGCTGCACCTGAAGATGATGGCACCTCAGGAGGCACTGCCAGCTGAGCCACCACCCAAGGCACCACCCCTGAGCTCCAGCACCATCCACTACGAGTGTGTGGATTGCAAGGCTCTTTTTGCCAGCCAGGAGCTCTGGCTGAACCACCGGCAGACACACCTCCGGGCCACACCCACCAAGGCTCCTGCCCCTGTTGTCCTGGGGTCCCCAGTTGTTCTAGGGCCTCCCATGGGCCAGGCCCGCGTGGCTGTGGAGCACTCATACCGCAAGGCAGAAGAGGGTGGGGAAGGGGCGGCTGTCCCATCTGCTGCTGCCACCACTACCACTGAGGTGGTGACTGAGGTGGAGCTGCTCCTCTACAAGTGCTCTGAGTGCTCCCAGCTCTTCCAGCTGCCAGCGGATTTCCTGGAGCACCAGGCCACTCACTTTCCTGCTCCTGTCCCCGAATCTCAGGAGCCTGCCCTACAGCAGGAGATGCAGGCCTCATCACCTGCAGAGGTGCCTGTGTCTCAGCCTGACCCCTTGCCAGCTTCTGACCACAGTTATGAGCTGCGCAATGGCGAAGCCATTGGGCGGGATCGCCGGGGACGCAGGGCCCGGAGGAACAACAGTGGAGAAGCAGGCGGGGCAGCCACACAGGAACTCTTCTGCTCAGCCTGTGACCAGCTCTTTCTCTCACCCCACCAGCTACAGCAGCACCTGCGGAGTCACCGGGAGGGTGTCTTTAAGTGCCCCCTGTGCAGTCGTGTCTTCCCTAGCCCTTCCAGTCTGGACCAGCACCTTGGAGACCATAGCAGTGAGTCACACTTCCTGTGTGTAGACTGTGGCCTGGCCTTTGGCACAGAAGCCCTCCTCCTGGCCCACCGGCGAGCCCACACCCCGAATCCTCTGCATTCGTGTCCATGTGGAAAGACGTTTGTCAATCTTACCAAGTTCCTTTATCACCGGCGTACTCATGGGGTAGGGGGTGTCCCTCTGCCCACAACACCAGTCCCACCAGAGGAGCCTGTCATTGGTTTTTCTGAGCCAGCTCCAGCAGAGACTGGAGAGCCAGAGGCCCCTGAGCCCCCTGTGTCCGAGGAGACCTCAGCAGGGCCCACTGCTCCAGGCACCTACCGCTGCCTCCTGTGCAGCCGTGAATTTGGAAAGGCCTTGCAGCTGACCCGACACCAACGTTTTGTGCATCGGCTGGAGCGGCGCCATAAATGCAGCATTTGTGGCAAGATGTTCAAGAAGAAGTCTCATGTGCGTAATCACCTGCGTACGCACACAGGGGAGCGGCCCTTCCCTTGCCCTGACTGCTCCAAGCCCTTCAACTCGCCTGCCAACCTGGCCCGCCACCGGCTCACACACACAGGAGAGCGGCCCTACCGGTGTGGGGACTGTGGCAAGGCTTTCACACAAAGCTCCACGCTGAGGCAGCACCGCTTGGTGCATGCCCAGCACTTCCCCTACCGCTGCCAGGAATGTGGGGTGCGTTTTCACCGCCCTTACCGCCTGCTCATGCACCGCTACCATCACACAGGTGAATACCCCTATAAGTGTCGCGAATGCCCCCGCTCCTTCTTACTGCGCCGGCTGCTGGAGGTACACCAGCTCGTGGTCCATGCTGGGCGCCAGCCCCACCGCTGCCCATCCTGTGGGGCTGCCTTCCCCTCCTCACTGAGGCTCCGGGAGCACCGCTGTGCAGCTGCTGCTGCCCAGGCCCCACGGCGCTTTGAGTGTGGCACCTGTGGCAAGAAAGTGGGCTCAGCGGCTCGGCTGCAGGCACATGAGGCAGCCCATGCAGCTGCTGGACCTGGAGAGGTTCTGGCTAAGGAGCCCCCTGCCCCTCGAGCCCCACGTGCCACTCGTGCACCAGTCGCCTCTCCAGCAGCCCTCGGAGGCACTGCTGCAGCATCCCCTGCGGCCCCTGCCCGCCGCCGGGGTCTAGAGTGCAGCGAGTGCAAGAAGCTGTTCAGCACAGAGACGTCACTGCAAGTGCACCGGCGCATCCACACAGGTGAGCGGCCGTACCCGTGTCCAGACTGTGGCAAAGCGTTCCGTCAGAGTACCCACCTGAAAGACCACCGGCGCCTGCACACAGGTGAGCGGCCCTTTGCCTGTGAAGTGTGTGGCAAGGCCTTTGCCATCTCCATGCGCCTGGCAGAACATCGCCGCATCCACACAGGTGAACGACCCTACTCCTGCCCTGATTGTGGCAAGAGCTACCGCTCGTTCTCCAACCTCTGGAAGCACCGCAAGACGCATCAGCAGCAGCATCAGGCAGCTGTGCGGCAGCAGCTGGCAGAGGCAGAGGCTGCTGTTGGCTTGGCTGTGATGGAGACTGCCGTGGAGGCACTGCCCCTGGTGGAAGCCATTGAGATCTATCCTCTGGCCGAGGCTGAGGGGGTCCAGATCAATGGCTGACTCTGCCTGACTTCCTCTTCAGCACCTCCATGCCCTGTTGCTGAAGGCCCTCCAGCATCCCCTTAAGCCTCTGTACATACTGTGTCCCTTCCTCTTCCCATCCCACCACCATGTAAGTTCTAAATTGGATTTATTCTCTCCTGAGGGGGTGCTCTGGGATCCTTAACACACACAAAGGTGCCCCCAGCCTTCCACCTCTTAGCACTGGTTACCCCAAAAATGAAACTGTCAATAAAGACTGAGTTGCCAGCAGTGTATAGAGTGGAATTTAGGAGGCATGAGGCCAGATACTAGGTCTCACCGCTCATGGTTGTGTCACCAACACCTAAAAGTGGGTCTGGCGGGTAGTAGGAGCTCAGTCAACATTTGTTGGGCTGAAGAGAATGATGTGGTGTTCATGGGCATGGCTCTCAGAGCAGGGACTTCACTTTACTGCTAGATGGAGGTAGCATGGCTCTCTTACCACTAGAGGTCCCATATCCCTGTGGAAAAGCTCAAGGGTGTTTTCTGCTGGTGGCAGGAATTCTTTTAGAGAAATCAGATTCTTAAACCCTGTCCCCGACTCCTGGCCTGATGTGGGCCTTGTCTCCCAAGGCCATCTGATTTTCTCAGTGATCCCCAAGGGCAGATGCAGGTAGACATGATGTCCGGCTGTGGAATTAAAGGAGATTCTGAATAATACGTGTCTGGGCATAGGAGGCTTCATGAGGGATGGTGACTTGAATACCCCTGGAGTTGGACTTTGGCTCAGCCAGCAGTTTTTTATTGTGGGAGAGGGATGGCTGGCTGGCTGGCTAATGTTTGAACATTAGTCTCAAGTACTATATATATAACTTTGAGTACTATTCTCACTGATTAAGTGAGAACATTTTGCAGGAAAGGAATCTGCAGTCAAAAGCATTGAGAAGACTTGCCCAGGTCAGAATTTAAGCCTGATTTCATTTGGTTTAATCATCCATATGCTTTTCTCTCCACTCTGCTGCCTTCTGCATACTTTGGGGAGGGTGGTGGAAACAAGATCGAAGTGTGTGACTGATGGGATGCTAGGCTGCTGTGCTAGCCTTGCCTCAGACCCCTTTTCCTCAAAGATTATTCCAAATGCTTCTTTTGGAAAGAACTTTTTTTTTTTTGAGACGGAGTTTTGCTGTTGTTACCCAGACTGGAGTGCAATAGCATGATCTCGGCTCACTGCAACCTCCGCCTTCTGGGTTCAAGCAATTCTCCTGCCTCAGCCTCCCGAGTAGCTGGGACTACAGGCATGTACCACCATGCCCAGCTAATTTCTGTATTTTTAGTAGAGACGGGGTTTCACCTTGTTGACCAGGATGGTCTCGATCTCTTGACCTCGTGATCCACCCACCTCGGCCTCCCAAAGTGCTGGAATTACAGGCATGAGCCACCACGCCCGGCCAGAACTTTTCTTTTTTTCAGAGAGTTGCTGTGACACCCAGGATGGAGTGCAATGGCGTGATCTCGGCTCACTGAAACCTTCACCTCCTGGGTTCAAGTGATTCTCCTGCCTCAGCCTCCCGAGTAGCTGGGATTACAGCTACCACACCCAGCTAATTTTTGTGTTTTTTAGTAGAGGTGGGGTTTCACCATGTTGGCCAGGCTGGCCTCAAACTCCTGACTTCAGGTGATCTGCCCACCTCAGTCTTCCAAAGTGCTAAGGTTACAGGCATGAGCCACCACACCTGGCCTGAAAGAACTCTTTCTCTAAAACAGTCTCACTCTTGCCTAGGCTGGAGTGCAATGGCCGGTTCTCAGCTCACTGCAACCTCCGCCTCCTGGGTTCAAGCAATTCTCTTGCCTCAGCCTCACCTGGGATTATATGCATGCACCACTATGTCCAGCTAATGTCATGAACATGGTTCACTGCAGCCTCACCCTTTCCAGCTCCTGATCCTCCCACCTCAGCTAGGACTACAGGCACATGCCCAGCTAATTTTTGTGTTTATTGTAGAGACAGTCTCACCATGTTGCTCAGGCTAGTTTCCAACTTCTAGACTCAAAGGCTCCACCCAAAGTGCTGAGATTACAGGTGTGAGCCACAGCACCTGGTCTTCCCTATTCTACTCACTTCAGGCCCTTAACACTCTGAGCACTAGGACTCTAGGGCATCATTTGAAAGTCTAGTTCAGCCTGTTGCTCAGATGAGAAGGCTAGAAGTCAAGTCTCCTAATTCTACTACTTTTTTACTACATTGTGCTTTTAATCATATTAAAAAAAAAAAAAACACTTGATGTCCTAACAGCTCCTATGAAGAGCAAATTTTTTAAGCAGTTGCTTCCCACCTGGGTGTACAGATCATGGCCACCATCTTTTAACAACTGCATCCCCTGCAGAAAGGACTAGAGCCATCTTGGCCCAGCATGCCAGGTCCCCCAGTCCCCAGGTAAAGTCATTCCCAAACCTCCCCCTCAAGAGCTGTAACATCATGAAAGTCATGAAATAAGTGTTCAGAACAACTGGAGTGGTCATCCATGCAAAACCATAAAGATAAAGCTGAATCAAGAAAAGGGATGGGATGAAGGAGAAAAACCTGAGGATGCTTGCTAGCTACAAGATAAAGAGGCTCTCAGCAGGAAAGAATGGTTCTGTGATGGTGTCTGGTCATCCTTCCTCCGTTACTCTCTTTTGCAGCTTGAGTTTGACTCCTACCCTGAGAAGAGTTTGTGCAAACACATTTATGAACAAGTTTAGGGGGTTCTTTGTTCATCATCATCCTGGTGAAACTTCCACGGTCATCAGTTGAGCCATGGTCCTAAAAAAGATACTACTTGTTGGATGCTGGTGTTCCAGTTGCACAGGCAAAGGTTACCAAATGCTGGTGTGTGTTAGGAAATTCCCCTTGAGACTTAGATCCAGCAAGCATGTGTGGGGTGATACCCAGGAACCTGCATTATATACACACCAATTCTGATGAAACTGGGGCTTGCATTGCTTGTTTTTAGTTGGGCAAGCCAAGTTGTCAAGGCAACAAGAACACTGGTTCCCTGGTGCCCAACGTTTTTGGGTTTATTTTATTTTAAAGAGATAGGGTTTCACCATGTTGGTCAGGCTGCTCTCAAACTCCCAACCTCAGGTGATCTGCCTGCCTCAGCCTCCTAAGGTGCTGGGACCACAGGCGTGAGCCACTGCGCCCAGCCTTGGGTTTATTTTTTTAGTTACATTTTATTAGAAAAGATTAATATCGAGGATGGTGATTGCTTCAATGCATCATCTTCATAGTATAAGAAAAATAGAGTGGAAAATAAAGGAAAGGAACATAAAGCTTGCTAGCCTTAGCATTCACCTCTACACCATATCACATGTGGGAAGATTGTGGTAACACATCTATAAATGTTTAAGGAAAAAAAATATTGTGACCAAAGTATTGGAACTGCTAAGATGCACATGTGAATAATAGAAGAAAATTAGATGTCCAAATAGATTAAAATTTGGGAAAATTTGAGAATATAAATAAGCACTGAAATAATTTATGATAGTGTAGCTATGGTTAAAAAAATAATTTTATTTTTTTGGAGACACAGTCTAACTCTATTGCCCAGCCTGGACTGCAGCGGGGCAATCTTGGCTCACTGCAACCTGTGCCTCCCAGGGTCAAGAGATTCTCCTGCCTCAGCCTCCCTAAGTAGCTGGGATTACTGGTGCCTGCCGCCACACCTAGCTAATTTTTGTATTTTTAGTAGAGACCAGGGTTTCACCATGTTCGTCAGGCTGATCTTGAACTGATGTCAGGTGATCCACCAGCCTCAGCCTCCCAAAGTGCTGGGATTACAGGTATGAGCCACCATGCCCAGCCTAAAACAAAATAAATTCTAAGAATTGTTCTTGTAAAAGAAATGACCTAAGATTTAAAAGGTTAATGTATTAGGGTTCTGTTTATACAAAAAATATATAACCAGTAGGTTATGTGCATGTGTGTATGTGTATATCTTACCTGTTACATGTATATAAACGATATGGTAAATATTGATATACATATATATGTAAAGATATGTATTTTTTAATAGAGGTTTGTTTCACTCTTTGTAGACATATATAAACATATATTTTTATATATGTTTTGAATGCTTAGGACAGAGCTCCAGCACACTCTTTAATAAATGACAAATAAAAGACAGTGTGCTGGAGCTCCGAATCCTATTTATATATACTTCAGCCTGTCATCTACCATCTACATTAGGTATTTCTTCTAATGCTATCCCTCCCCTAGCCCCTGACCGACCCTCTGACAGGCCCCAGTGTGTGATGTTCCCTTCCTTGAGTCCATGTGTTCTCATTGTTCAACTCCCATGTAGAAGTGAGAACATTCAGTGTTTGGTTTTCTATTCCTGTGTTAGGTTTTCTTTTTCTTTTTTTTTTAATAAAAAGACAGGGTTTCACCATGTTGGTCAGACTGGTCTTGTACTCCCGACCTCAGGTGATCCACCCACCTTGGCCTCCAAAGTGCTTGGATTAGAGGCGTGAACCACCACACCCAGCCAGGTTTTATTTTTCTCTCTTTTTTCTTTTTGAGACGGAGTTTCGCTCTTGTTATCCAGGCTGGAGTGCAATGGCGTGATCTTGGCTCACCGCAACCTCCACCTCCTGGGTTCAGGCAATTCTCCTGCCTCAGCCTCCTGAGTAGCTGGGATTACAGGCACGCGCCACCACGCCCAGCTAATTTTTTGTATTTTTAGTAGAGACGGGGTTTCACCATGTTGACCAGGATGGTCTCAATCTCTTGACCTCGTGATCTGCCCGCCTCGGCCTCCCAAAGTGCTGGGGTTACAGGCGTGAGTCACCACGCCCGGCTTGCTCTCTCTTTTTTTTTTTTTTTTTTTTGAGGGAGAGTCTTGTTCTGTTGCCCAAGCTGGAATGAGGTGGCACAATCTTGGCTCACTACAAACTGCCCAGCCTGGGTTCAAGTGATTCTTCTGCCTGAGGCTCCTGAGTAGCTGGGATTACTGGAACCTGCCACCACACCCAGCTAATTTTTGTATTTTTAGCAGAGACAGGGTTTAACCATGTTGGTCAGGCTGGTCTTGAACGCCTGACCTCAGGTGATCCACCAGCCTTGGCCTCCCAAAGTGCTGGGATTACAGGCATGAGCCACCACACCCAGCCTAAAACAAAATAAATTCTAATAATTGTTGTTGTAAAAGAAATGACATAAATGTCATTTGCCAAATAACAAGATGGGTTTCACCATATTGGCCAGGCTGACTTCGAACTCCTGACCTCGTGATCTGCCCACCTCAGCCTCCCAAAGTGCTGGGATTACAGGCATGAGCCACTACACCTGGCCCATGTTTGGGGTCTTGCTATGTAGACCAGGCTGGTCTCAAACTCCTGGCCTCAAGGGATCCTCCCATCTCGGCCTTTCAAAGTGCTGGGATTAGAGACGTGAACCATGACACCCAGCCTGTTTTGTCTTCCATTTTTTAGAGTCATACTCTGTTACCCAGGCTGGAATCCAGTGGTACAATCACAGCACACTGCATCCTCAGCCTCCTGGGCTCAAGCGATCCTCCTGCCTCATCCTCCAAGTAGCTGGATCCACAGGCGAGCGCCACCGCATTTGGCTAGTTTATTTTGTAGAGATGGAGTCTTGAGTTCTGTGTGGTTCTGACTGTGCCACCCTGAAGATAGGCTTGGACCAAATGATCATCTTCAATGTACTATTCTGATGCTCCACCCCTGCTGACTTGTTTTGAGAGTTGAGGTGCTTTGCTTTCTTTCAGTCTTGTCAAAACACTGTGATGCTAACACTTTTTGTCTTACTAAATATGAAACATCTCTCTCACTCTATTCCTTTTTCCTGTGCCTCGATTCCCAATACTATCGAATTTGCAGGATCCCAGCACCTGTGTACCAAGCATACATTAGAGGATGGAACAGTGTTGAGGAAACTGAACAGCTTTTTTTTTTTTTCCCCTGAGACAGAGTCTCACTCTCTCACCCAGGCTAGAGTGCAGTGTGGCATGATCTTGGCTCACTGCAACCTCTACCTCCCAGGTTCATGATCCTTGGGCCTCAGCTGCCTGAGTAGCTGGGATTACAGGTGTGCACCACCTGTAATTAGCCTGGCTAATTTTCATATTTTTAGTAGAGATGGGACTTCACTGTGTTGGCCAGGCTAGTCTTCACCTCCTGGCCTCAAGTGATCCGCCCATCTTGGCCTCCCAAAGTGCTGGGATTACAGGCGTGAGCCACTGCGCCCAGCCTTGCAGTACATTTTCATTAATACCACTTCTAATTTTCAGCATTAAGGTTTAAGGGTCAGTCCATGGCCTGATGGCCTGCAGAAGCTGTTGTACTGCCAAGATGGGTACAATAATTTGAGAAAGAGTTACTATTGCTCTAAAAAGGAAGAGGGTTGGTGTATACATTGTACCACCAGAATACTTCAAAATCAACTCTGGTTGGTTTGTTTGAGACAGGGTCTCACTCTGTCACCCAGGCTGGAGTGCAGTGGTGCTATCATAGCTCACTGCATGCAGCCTTGGCCTCCCAGGCTCAAGAGATCCTCCCACCTCAGCCTCCCGAGTAGCTGGGACCACAGATACACACCATCATGCCCAGTTAATTTTGCTCAATTTTTGTAGAGATGGAGTCTCACTGTGTTGCCCAGGCTAGTGTTGAACTGGGCTCAAGGGTTCTTCCTGCATTGGCCTCCTAAATGCTAGGATTACAGGCGTGAGCCACCGCACATGGCCTCGTTTTGTGTGTGTGTGTGTGTGCTTTTTTTTTTTTAGTGATCTGAAAAAATGACATATAACTCTTCTGTTAATTTATTTGACTATCTGTGAGGCTGAAACTTTTTCATGTGTTAATTGGAACTCTGGTTTTCAACAGTCTCGTTCGTCCTTTGGCAGAGCATTCAGGGACGGAGATGGGTAGACACTTGCTGGTTTCCTGGCTTTCTCATAGTAGTCATTTATTGAAGACAGTGTGCTGGAGCTCCGTCCTAAGCGCTTTACTTAGACCATCATCCTACAACCTTGTGAGGTAGATACTGTCCCTAAATACATGAAGGTCATACATTTATAAAATGGCAGCACTGAGATTTGAATTCAGAAATGTGAATTCATCCTGAATTTAAAGACTTGGTTCTTTGATTGGTGAGAACATTTGTTCAGCTTTTACTTCCAAACATTCACTCTTTTTTAAAATTTAATTTTTTAAAAATTTGTTTTTTTTTTTTGAGACAGAGTTTCGCTCTCGTTATCCAGGCTGGAGTGCAATGGCGCGATCTCGGCTCACCACAACCTCCGCCTTCTGGGTTCAGGCAATTCTCCTGCCTCAGCCTCCTGAGTAGCTGGGATTACAGGCACGCGCCATCGTGCCCAGCTAATTTTTTGTATTTTTAGTAAAGATGGGGTTTCACCATGTTGACCAGGATGGTCTCGATGTCTTGACCTCGTGATCCACCTGCCTCGGCCTCCCAAAGTGCTGGGATTACAGGCGTGAGCCACCACGCCCAGCCTCAAAAATTTGTTTTTTTTTGAGACAAGGTCTCCCTCTGTCACACAGACTGGAATGCAGTGGCACGATCACCATTCATTGCAGCCTCAACATCCCAGGTTCAAGCGATCCTTCCAACTCAGTCTCCCAAGTAGCTAGGACTAGACACTACAGGCACGCACCACCATGCCCCGCTGAGTTTTTGGGGTTTTTTAAGAGAAGAGTTCTCACTATGTTGCCCAGACTATGAGCATTCAGAAGTAAAACCCAGCATACAGATCTCCAACCCCACACCTGGATTTCTTTACCACCCTTCCCAGGACAGAGAGGAGACCAAGGGAGAGCAGGCATCATTTCTCTCTGTACAGTTTTTAATTTTTTATTTTTTGATGTTTTTTGTTCAGATGAATGACACACTCAAGTTACAAAAATGGGGCCTTAAAAGAAGCACATTGTACAATGAACAAGCAGATTGGAGTTAAGAACACTGAAACGCTAACCCGCTACCACGAGAAGAGACAGGGAGTGGGTACAGGAAAGGAAGGAAGGGGCTACCAACACAGGGGTCAGACGGAACTGAAAGGGAGGCAAACTTGGTGAGGATGGAGGAAAGGCAAGTCTACTCCGGAGCTGATTTCTGGATGCTGCTTTTTGGGCACCCTTGCCTTGTACTTGCCACCCCCTCCAACTCCACTCACCCCCATTCTGTCTGACCTGGTTATTCTGGGAGGTGAGACACCCACACCAAAATGGGCTGAGCCAATCAGGTCTTTACAAGGCAGGGTGCTCACTTTACCCTAGTGCAGCCCTGGATTTGGAAGGTGATGGTGGCAGCAGTGGGACAAGAGGCCAGAAAGGAGCTGATCAAAGTTCAGGCCCCTGCTCTTCCCAAAGACTTCTTGCCCTTTCCCCACCCTACCATGATCCAAAGGCCCTCTACGAGTTGTCGAGAGAGACCCCCAGTCACCCTGCAATTATATAAATAAATAAATACTGAGCCCCTGGGTTTGGGGGACAGGTTGGGGGAGGGGCAGCAAGGATAGAAGACAGGAAAAAGGAAGGGGAGGGAGGCAGAGGGAAGAGGTCACAGACATAGTAAATAGTAGTCTCCATCCCAGCAATACTTCTCTCTGGATTTTTCTCTCCTTTTCTTGTTTGTTTAACAAGGAGCTAACAATTCAAGGACAAATACTTAAAAATATACATTATTTTTTCTTTGTTTCCGCCTTTGTCATCGTCGTCTTGCTTTGGAGACTGCTGAGGTCAAAGTTTAAACCGCATGAAGGACCTGCGGCTTGGAGTTTTTGTGTATTTTTAATTTTTATTTTTAATTTTTTTTCACTTTTTTTCCCAACGTATAAAAAGGTAGCGGAGTTGTCTGTGGGGTTTTTTTTAATGGTTAAATCTTTGGTTTGTTTCTTTTTTCTCTTGGAGGCCTTTATCTCTCGCACTTGCCTTTCCCACTCAGAGACCAGTGGGGGCCCGCGTGTCTCAATCTTGCTGTCTCACTCTCTCTCTCACTCAAGTCCCCCTACCCTGGGCTAGAGGAAGAGAAGCACCCTAGGATTCAGGTGGGTTAGAAAAACTAGTCAGGTCAAGAGTTCACCCTGACTTGGCTAGTTCCTTGCCAAATCTCCCCAGGGCTTGGAGAGCCTGTCACGGCCTTCTCCAGGGAGGAGATGGGTGGAAAACTCATATCCTTCCCCTCCTCCTGATCACAGCCCCCAACTCCTGCTGGGGCTTGGGTTCCCCATCCCTACCCGCCCCCCCACACACTCCCCCCACCCCCCAGAAGAGAACAGAGAGAGGTGGTTTAGTTACTGGCATCAATTTTTTTTGGCACAATGAAAAGGCCCACCATTAAGGTAGACCCAGTCTCTGTCCCTCCCTTAAGTAGGAGATCAGGGTTGGGGAGAAGAGAAATTCAGAGGGCTCCCCACTGCTCCAATCCACTCATCTCTCCTCTCTTTCTAGCCCAGGCCCTCAGCCCCCAACCTTGGACATCTAACCTAGCCCAGAGCCTACCCTGGGGTTTCCCTCCCCATCCCCCACATAAAGCTCCCCAGCCCTCCAACTCTCTCGCTCACACACAGACACACGGACACAGGCTCTGTACAGACCGCAAAATAAAAACGATGAGATAGTTTTGTTTCCCGGAGTCGAGACGGGGGACCCGAGTGGAAGGGACAGATGGGGGTGGGGGGCATGAATTCCCCCATCACCTTCCCAACCCTGGCTCCCTCCAGCCCCCCAGCCCCTTGCCCTGGCTGGCCCCCAGCCAACGATATTTGGTTTCCTTTTTTTAACATTAAAGTTCTATGAGGTATTTGGTGCCTTATCTCGAGTCCTCGGGGGAGGGGGGCCCAGGGGGAGACCTGGGGCTCACCTGCCCCTCCCTCCCTCCTACCCCCTTCCCAATATTTGGTTTCACAGCTGTAGTTAAAGCTTGGGATTTGGTTATTTTTCCCCCTCCCAGGAATTTTCTTTTTTCTTGTTTTTCTTTTCCCAGTTGTGAGGATTGGATGGGGAGGGTCCCCAGCACCCCGGCTGCACGGGGGTCCCTCCACCAACGTCAGGGCTTCTGCCCCATCCCTGCCCCCTGCTCCTCCTCTTCTCTTTGCCCCACTCTCAACACTGGGGTGTGGAGAGGTCCCAAGTGGTGGGACTTGATGAGGAGGAAGCAGGATGAAGTGGGTGGTGGTTGAGTCCTGGATTTTCTTTTTTTTTTTTTCCTTTTTGGTCTAGAATCATAGTTTTTGTTTGAGTCATCTCCACCATGCCTTCCATGCTGCCTGTCTTCTCGGAGGGGGTTTTGGTTGTAATTCCTTTCATTTTGCTCTGCTCACATGTTCTTCCTATTTGGTCAGGAGCCCTTGGCCCCCTCTTCACCCTTGGGCTGGGGCCCAAGCCCTCTTGCCAGTCCCTTCTCTCTTCAGGAAATAAACATGGACAAACTCAGAGGTAGGGTAAGGGCAGGGAGTCATTCATCGGAGATGCTTACATTCCGGCGAGGATGGGTCGACGAGGTGCCAGGCCCCATCGTGCCAGGGGTGGGGGGGCGACTACTCCACCACTGCCCGGACAAGGCACCCGGAGGCCCCTGCAATGGCCGAGTCTCTGCTGCCTCCATGGCCCAGCCCAACAGTTTCATTTCCCAGGTGGGAGAAGGGAGACAAGAAAAAAAGAGAACGCTGAGGCCTGGGGCTCCATCTGCCTCTCCTCAAGAGTGTCCAGGAGAAAGTGGAAGCTGCCCAGGCTGTGGCCCTGCAGTCTCAGGGCTCTCCCCTCCCTCTGCTCCTGCCCAGTGAGGGGCGGGGGCCACACTGCGCTGCCAGGCCCCACCCTGATTTCAATGGCTCGCGTCCTTCACTGCAACACTTTGGTTTGAGGAGAGACACAGAAAGAACAAGATTGAGAGAGGAGAGAGGAGAGCAAAGGGAAAGAGAGGAGAGAGGAAGGAGGGAAGAAGAAAAGACAGAAGAGAACTGAAAAAGAAATCAAAGGAGGAATCAAACCACCCGAAAGTTGTTAGTTTTCCTTTGTCCGTTCTTTTTGCTTGCTCCTTTTTTCTTTTCTTTTTTTAAAGCTTTTTCAGTTGATTGCGGGGGGGTAGTTAGGGCTCTTCACCCCTGTCCCTGACACCCTCTCAGCCCCACCCACCCGCTTCCATCTGCCCTGGCCGAGGGACAGGCTTGCCTCAGCCGCCCCCTCCAGCTTTCCCAAAGACGACATCCATGAGGTATTTGTGAAGAGAAAGAAGCATCCGTCCTTCTGTCCGCGTTGGGGACCAAGGGCCTGGACCACCGGTGCAGGGGCTTGGCTCCGCTTCACGGCTCTATCTTATTCTTGAAGAGTCCTCATCTTCTTTCCCTTTTAGATATATATAAATTCTTTTTTCTAGTTTAAATTTATTGTTTGTTTGGTTTTGTTTTTGTTTTTTGGTTCAAAACTTTGTTGGCCTCCACAATAGCAGGAGGGCAGGGTGGCTCCCAGTGGCGTCTCTCCTCTGTCCGTCATCAGTGGAGATGTGTCCGGGGCTGGGCAAACACAGGGTCCAGCCAAGACTCGTGGAGGTCTCATGGGAGTAGTGGCCACCACCGTGCCTTTTCAGATAGGGACCACAGGCTGTGGCACTGTCCCCACACATGGACCCTGATGGGGATGCCATCTCGAGGAACCCCACCACTGGGGTGTGTGCGTGTGTGCATGTGTGGGGAGGGAGAGGCATTCGCCAGTACCAGAGGGGCACGGGATGGGAAAAGTGAGGCGAGTTCTCTTTTTGGTTTCTGGTTAATGTCAAAGAACGTGAAGGATCCCACGGATAGGCACTGGAATATGAATTTTCTTTTTTAGGGAAACTGACAGACAGGATGGAAAAAGACAACTGAATGCCTTCATCCCCTCTTGCCTGAAACTTCCACCATCCCATAGGCTGGGGAGGGGGTTGATTCCAGAACAGAGGAGGGTGACAGGGTTGAGGAGGAACTTGTGAGAGCTAGAACTTGGCAAAATGGCCTAGCTCACCCTTCAAAGGGGAAAAGAGGGAGGAAGAGGGGATGAAAAGTCATCCCCAGGCCTTCCCTTGAACTCTCCCCTGGCTGGGGGGAGGGAGGAGGTTAAAGCAAGACCCCCTGCCCAAGTGGGGAGAGCTGGGGGCCAGGGGAGAAGGGGACACATGGTAGGGACACATTCTGTTGAGCACAACGCTAAAAATTCTGTACATCCTTTGGATGAAGCTACTGAATATTTGGTGTAAGGTTGTTCAGGCCCTTTCTCTTTCACCTTTCAGAAAAGAACATTTGGCGGGTGGTGCTGAGCCCCAGCCCATCTGCCTAGACTGTGCCCTGTCTTTGCTGGCCCAGGGCTGGGGGCCAGGACTAGGAAGCTGGCATCTTCTCTTTTTCCTTCTGTAGCCCCCACTGGGGGAGGCAGGGTTGGGGGTTGGCCCCACAGCCAGGGCTTGGTGGCAATGAGGTCTGACCTGCTGGAGGCTTCTCCGCCCCTGGCTGGGGTTCTTATTTGGTGTCATAGCAGTGAGGGTGTGAGCACACTGAGGTCTGGCTCGAGACTGGTTTTTTGGTTTGTTTGATTTTGTGGGTTTTTTTTTTTTGGTTTTGTTTTGTTTTGTTTTTCACCTCTGGTTCCTTTGGGGCAGCTGGTTTCTGTTGTGATTATTTTTGGTTTTCTCTTTTGTTGGTTAGTTAGTTTCTTTCCTTTTTTTTTTTTTTTGGTTGGTTGGTTTTTTTGGTCTTTCCTCCCTTGTCACTCCTGCTCCGAGGACCCTCTGTGTCCCCACCACTGGCCTCCTTACCCTCTTCCCAGGCAAGAGACCAAGGCGGGGGTCAGAGGAGTGGGAGGGGAGGCATGGCTGGCCCTCACTCAGGTTTGGACCCTGCCTCGGGCCCCCCTGGGCCTCCAGGGGTCTGTGCTGCTGCCTCGCTGCAAGTGGAGGAGGAGGAGGATGAGGATGAAGATGATGAGGAGGAGAGGCCAGGAGACTTGCTGGAGATGGAGGCTGCCACGGCCGCAGCCGCTGCTGAGACCAGGCCCACGCCAGGTGGGGTGCTGAGCAGGGGCAGCCCAGCATGGTTCAAGAAGAGCGGCGAGGTCACCAGGCCAGGGCTCCCCGGGGCGGCGCCGGCTGCCCCCAGCACCAGGTTCCCGCTGCCATCAAGGCTGGTAAGGGGCAGGGTTCCACCAGAGGCCAGGGCTGGTGGGGAGAGAGAGAGGCTGGGCTGGGGGCACGCCGGGCCAGGGGAGACCTTTGCCTTCCAGCATCCTGCCCAGAGTGCCCCCCATCTCCTCATCGGTCCCACTGACCCCCATCAGCACCCCTCACACCTTCCCCAAAGGTGAGATGGGTATGAAGAGGCGAGCAATGCAGTGAGCAGGGGCGTGATGGCATGGCTGGAGCAGCAATGGCAGGGCTTGAGGCCCCAGAGGATAGGGCTGGTGACAATGGGAGTGACATGAGGCAGCACGCACCTTGGATAGTGGCCAAAGGGTTGTTGCTCATGAGGGCTGGACTCAGCCCAGAGCTCAACCCCACCATTGTGCTTCTGCAAGAGGCAAAGCAGAGGCATTAGCAGGGGCAGGGACCTGACAGCATAAATGGGGTGCAGCTCCCCACCCCAGAAGTAGCAGCGACCCTGCTTCTCCCCCACAGCCTCCCACCTGCACCCACTTACCCCGTGCTGGGGTTCAGGCCCGACAAGCTGATAGCTGAGTGGCTGCCTTGAGGGCTGGGGTTTGTGCTGTTGGTTGTGGCCGGGGGTGGGGGAGTGACAGAGGGGATGGAATTGAGGGGGGGCACAGCCCCGCCCCCACCCCCACCCCCTCCAGCTGTCCGGCTGGGGTGGAGCGTCCCCACAGCTGAGGATAAGGTAGTAACTGCCAGAAAGAGACAAAGAGATGAGGTCTTCAGCTTCCACTAATTGCCCACTGAGGAACCTGAGTTTAATTCCTATTTGTCCCCCCGCACAGCTCACGAAGCATCTCCTCAGTCAAAACAGCCTTAGACCTCCCTGCTCTCTCTTCCCAAAGCCATTTCCCTGTGCCTCTGCCATGGTGACCCCTATCTTAACAATGGAAGTCAGAACAGCTGCTTCCTGCTAAGCCCTGGCACTCTGCGCTCCCCGCCCTGAACCACTTTTATACTGACTAGAAACGGGGTGCCCAGGAGACAAAGTCCTATGGCTCTCTAGGGGCCGGGGAGGGGCAAGGGGTGTCAGGCATGTTGCCACAGCTGAGGGATAGGCAACCTGGCAGGGGCTGAGGGCCCAGATTCAGCCAGACTGCTGGGGTAGAAACTCCTGGTTTTCTGTTGTCCTAGGGGTGCCCCTGGGGGGATTGCCTTAACCTCTCTGAACTTCAGATCCCTTATCTGGAAAATGGGGATAAAAGAACCTATCTCATAAAATGAATTTGAGAATTAAGTCAGTCAGTGCAGTTTAGAAAAAGCTCAGTACAGTGCCAGGCAAGCACTTACTGCTTTATAAATCTCCACTTACTATTTCCTGGCCTGGGGAAGGGCAATATGTTGTTTGTTATGCTAAATATATATTTTAGATGAAATCTCACTCTGTTGCCTAGGCTAGAGTAAGGTGGTATGATCTCAGCCTACTGCAACATCCTCCTCCCAGGTTCAAGCAATTCACCTGCCTCGTCTTCCTGAGTAGCTGGGACTACAGACACAAGGCACCACACCGGCTCATTTTTGTATTTTTAGTAGAGACAGGGTTTCCCATGTTGGCCAGGCTAGTCTTGAACTCCTGACCTCAGGTGATCCACCTGCCTCGGCCTCCCAAAGTGCTGGGATTATAGGCATGAGCCACCGCACCCGGCCAATTTTATATTACTCATATATAGTGTATAACCATATATATAAACCTGCTGTGTCCCAGGAAGAGGAAGGAGAACTCTGGGTACAAGAGTATGTCTGTATGCACACGTGTGTGTGTATACGTATACACACATACATACACTCTTGCATGCATGTATTTATATCTTTTGTATTACACATTCATAATAATTTTATAAAAACTGAGGCTCAGAAAGGTAAAGCAAGCTCTTGAGTTCACATAGCTTATGAATAACAGAGGCCAGGCACAAAACCCAAGTGCCTCACCTTTTACCATGCTCGTGCTTTTCTCATATGAAATTGTGAAGCAGATTAAAGCTGAGTTGCTCCTGCAGAGGAGGGGTGAGTCCTGCCCTCTTCCCACTGTCTCTCCCATTCACCCACCCACACTCCCCTGGCCCAGTCTTGATACCCAGAGCCACTTGGAAACCTCAGGCTGCAGCCTGTGCCTCATCCTCCCAGTCCCCCCTCACCACCTTCTGCCCTCCCTGACCTGTTGTGCTCAGACCGCTGGAAGCTTGGGACAATGGTAAGGTCCCCGCACCCCCTTGGGGTGTGACCTGGGGAGAGAGGAAAGGAGGTATGGTTAGGCCACTGTCTGCGGGCAGCCCCCGTGATGCTTCCTGCAGGACCCCACTCCTCTGTGTCAGGATGGGGGCAGGGGGTTTTGGCACAATGCTGTGTTTGTATTATTCCATGTGCCTTCTTCACACTTGCCCTAGCTGATCCTGAACCACAAGCAGGAATGGCTAATTCTCCATTGAAAGCACTCCCCACCTCTCTTCTGACACCACCCTGTCTGGCTAGTCTCTGCAGGGCTTCATCCTGTCTGAAGTGACTGCACCGTAAGAGTGGCTGCTGTACATGCTCTTGCTACTGTTGGTTCAGCAAAACTAAAACTCAGGACGAGCAAACACCACTCTTTTACCAGTGGGGTTGGCAAGTGATGCAGGAGAGCCTGTTCAAAGTGACCCAGGCAAGGAAAGAGCAGGTCTAAAGTGTGAGGCTAAATGGATGCATATCTTTGCATCAGGGTGTTGGGATGTCATATTACTTGATTTTCTGGGACCATTCACCAGCTTCCTTCTTGGCCACTGCACCTCCAGTCTCACCTTTGCATCAGCCCCAAAAACCTCACAAATGTAACCCTATCCTTCCCCAGCTCAAAACCCCTCCTTACCTCCACACTACCCATGGTTCAAGTTCCAGCTGTTCACTGTAAAACTTGGGGTACGTGCCCCCACCCCTTCCCCAACCTCATTCATATGAACTACAGCAACAACCATACTAAATTTGCACTGGAGTTCCTCAGATTGGGCTGGGCACACCCTGGCTTCTAGGCCTTAGTGCACACTCGTCCTGGAAGGCTCTTCGCTTTCTCGTGGCTGGCTAACTCTCCCTTGTCCTTTAGAACTCAGTTCAGACAGTGCCTCCTTCATACCACTGGGGGGCGGGGGCTCCTCTCTGAAGCATGACAGCCCTTTCCAGGAATGGAAATAAAGGGATGGGATAAAGGATGTCCCAGCTGTGTCTGACACCAAGTGGGCCTGTGTGCAGCTGTGGACTTGAGAGGACACCCATGGGTGTAACAGTGTCCCTGAATGGCAAATAAGTGCCTCTCCCTGCCTCTGTGTGGTTGTGAGACTGTGTGTTTCAACCTGGACCACATCCCTGGACATATATCCCTCCCTGTGTGGCTATGGCACTGTGATAACTCTGTGTCTGGCTATGCAGGTGTGTATCTAGGGGTGCTTGTATCCCCCATATAAGACCATAGTTCCCTGGAAAGTGTGTCCTTGTGTGACTGTGCCTGTCTACATGATGGCCTGTCCCCAAGAGTGGCTCTCTTTGCCTCTGTTCTAGGTTCTGTGGACAACCAGGTAGGGTGGGCCTCACAGAGGTGCCTGTGGAGCTCTGTGGTCTCCCACCCCCTAGACGGGCTCTTAGTACCATATGGGGGCTGTAGCTGGCCGGCTTCCCTGGGCTGGGCAGCATGGGGGCCGCACTGCAGGGGTTGATGCGTTTCTCCTTCTGGCGCCGGTTGCAGAACCAGACGCGGATCACTTCCTTCTCCATGTGCAGCTGCTCGGCGATCAGCAGGATCTCCTCTGAGGTAGGCTTCTGGTTCTGCAGGCAGAGGGCTCATTAGCCTGGGGCCCACTGCCCACCACCCCTCAGGTGAGGGCCACCCAGGACGGGGGGGGCCTCACCGCTAGAAAACTCTTCTCTAAGGCGAAGCGGACGTTTGTCTCAATGCTGGTCCTCTTCTTGCGTCTACGGCCGGGCAGCCCGTCGAAACCCAGACTGGGGCTGCTCAGTTGGTTGGGGCTGGGCAGGCTTGAGTCCACAGACATAGTCTCTGTGCCCCGGGGGATATGTGAGCATGAGAGGGTGCCTCCCATGGCCACCGGCTGCTGCCCGCCCCCCACACGAGAGCCCCAGCCTAGTCCCACCTGCGTCGTTGAGCCACTTCTCCAAGAGGGGCTTGAGTTTGCACATGTTCTTGAAGCTCAGGTTGAGGGCCTCAAAGCGGGAAATGGTCGTCTGGCTAAAGTCGTTGCCGTAGAGCTTGCCCATGGCCAGGCCCACATCACCCTAAGCCAGTGGGGCGGGTAAGGGGCGGAGGTCAGGGCGGGGCCTTTCGGCACTGGGCCCACTGCGCCCACTGACTCGCCACGCTCCTTGCGGCATCCATCAACTAGCCACGCCCCCACACCCACTGTCCAGCCTGCAAGGTGACTCCAGACCTGTGTGAAGCCCAGCTTGATGCGGCGTTGCTTGAAGGTGCGGGCGAACTGCTCCAGCTCCTCCAGATCACTGGGCTCCTCGGGGTGGGATGGTGGCTCTAAGCATTTGGGGGGCTGCGGATGCGAGAGGTGCGGGTCGGGCAGCGTAGGGCGGGTCACGGCCTGGTGGGGTTGTTGGCAGGTGGGTGGGATGCAGGGCAGAGGACCAGGACGGGGCTCAGAGATGGGTGCACATCCCTCCCTCCTCACCCCTGCATTCCATCCTCCGCCTGCAGACTTCCCTCCACCTTCTTCCACATGCACTGTCAATCCCTTTAAAGGTCCGACTCTGCTGCCCTACATGGGTTTCCTCATTGCTTGGGATTCTGCATTGTCCCTTCACGCCTGGGAACTCCCAGAAGGAGCCGCCAGCTTTTTGTGCCAGGGCTCTTTCCCTGGAGCCGAAGGCAGTGGTTCACAGTCATCTCAACCAGGGAATCAAGGACTGGCCCTGCCACCAAATCATTGCTTAGCCCAGGCCTCACTTTTCCCCTGTGCAGGATGGGTACAATCACTGCTGCTCTGTCTACCCAATGAGGCTGTTGAGAGAATGAGGTTAAAAATGAGTAGGTTGGCCGGGCACAGTGGCTCAAGCCTGTAATCCCAGCACTTTGGGAGGCCGAGGCGGGTGGATCACGAGGTCAAGAGATCGAGACCATCCTAGTCAACATGGTGAAACCCCATCTCTACTAAAAATACAAAAAATTAGCTGGGCATGGTGGCACGTGCCTGTAATCCCAGCTACTCAGGAGGCTGAGGCAGGAGAACTGCCTGAACCCAGAAGGCGGAAGTTGCGGTGAGCCGAGATCGTGCCATTGCACTCCAGCCTGGGTAACAAGAGCGAAACTCCATCTCAAAAAATAAAAAAAAGAGTAGGTCGTGCAAATCCATGGATTGTACAACACCAAGAGTGAACCCTAATGTCAACTATGAACTTTGGGTAATAGTGATGTGTCATTGTAGGTTCATCATTTGTTACACTTGTCCCACTCTGGTGAGGGATGTAGATAATGCGGGAAGCTGTGCCTATGTAGAGAGATATATGGGATATCTCTGTATCTTCTACTCAGTTTTGCTGTGAATCTAAAACTGCTCTTAAGGAATTAAGTCCTAAGAAATGAGTAAACTGCAAATAAACTGAAAATTTTTTTAAAATGGACTGAGAGGGCAATTAGGGAGATTTACAAAAAAGCAACAGCTCTATCTGGGATGCTTCACTGCCCTAAAAATAAGAGATCTGAAGCAGGTGGTGGTTGTAGGGATGTCTTGTCACCCAGGTCCTTGATCCATTATTCTCCAAAATGCTGGGGCCAGATGGTTAGGACTTTTTCTGTTTTGTTTTTTTAGATGGAGTTTCACTCCTGTTGCCCAAGCTGGGGTGCAATTATGTGATCTCGGCTCACTGCAACCTCTGCCTCCTGGGTTCAAGCAATTCTTCTGCCTCAGCCTTCTAAGTAGCTGGGATTACAGGCATTGCCACCATGCCCAGCTAATTTTGTATTTTTAGTAGAGACAGGGTTTATCCATGTTGGTCAGGCTGGTCTCAAACTCCTGACCTCAGGTGATCTGCCCACCTCAGCCTCCCAAAGTGCTGAGATTACAGGTGGTTAAGCCACTGCGCCCAGCCTTTTCTTTTCTTTTCTTTTTAAAATTGTATAAATTTAAGGCCAGCCTTAAGCCAGGTGCAGTGGCTCATGCCTGTAATCCCAGTACTTTTGGAAGCCAAGGTGGGAGGATTGCCTGAGCACAGGAATTTGAGACCATCCTGGGCAACATAGCAAAACCCTATCTCTACAAAAATTTTAAGAATTAGCTGAGCATGTGGGGCATGCCTGTAATACTAGCTACTCAGGAGGGCTGGGGACCGCTTCGCTTGAGCCCAGGAGGCCGAGGCTGCAGTAAGCTGTGATTGTACCACTGCACTCCAGGCTGGGTGACAGAGTGAGACCCTGTCTCAAACAAGAACAAAAAAACAAAAAAAAATTTAAGGGGTACAAGTGCAATTTTGTTACACAAATGTATCATGTAGTGATGAAGCCTGGGCTTTTAGTATATCCATCACCCAAACAGTGTACATTGTACCCATTAAGTAATTTCTCATCATCCACCCACTCTCACCCCTCTCAGGTTTTGTTGTTTTACAGAACAGGTCTCGCTCTGTTGCCCAGACTGGCCTCAAACTCCTGGGCTCAAGTGATCCTCTTGCCTCAGGTTCACACGTAGCTGAGACTATAGGCATGCACCACTGTGCTTGTTTCAGTTTTCAGAAATCCTACATAGGTAGCCAGGAGTGGTAGCTCATGCCTGAAATCCCAGCACTTTAGGAGGCTGAGGCAGGTGGATCACCTGAAGTCAGGAGTTCGAGACCAGCCTGGCCAACATGGTGAAACCTGTCTCTGCTAAAAATACAAAACTTAGCTGGGAATGGTGGCACATGCCTGTAATCCCAATGTCATAGGAAGCTAAGGCAGGAGAATCACTTGAACCCATAAGGTGGCGGCTGCAGTGAGCCGAGATTAAGTCACTGGACTACAACCTGGGTAACATAGCGAGACTCCATCTCAAGAAAAAGAAAGAAAGAAAAAAAGAAAACCTATATAGGATGTATATCATAGATAATGTGGCCTGCCTCCCACCCACACCAGAATCAAAGATGCTACTCCATAATCAGATACATTAGTTAACAGTTTTGCAGTAGCAAAAATGCCACACCAAGGGGGACAAAGAAAAGTCATATACTGCCTTATGTCATGGCAGAACAGATTTTGCAGCCAAATGAGTTCTCATTCCAATGGTGTAAGAACAACTTGACTTTCAGGGCGTTTGGGATTTCAGAACTGCAGCTAAGACCTGTATTAGTCTCTAATCTTTTCAGTCAGTCCTTCTTAAACAGTTCACATATATTTTTTTAAAGGGCTATAAAAATAGGTAGAAAAAACTTTGAAATTCATAAAAGGTAGTGAAAATTATTATTAAAGTCTAGAATTCAGGCAGCAAACTGAAGGCCTTTGGGTCCAGGCGCCAAGGTGGCCTAGAGAGCTGACCCCCTCTAAGGGGCCTTTGCTCCTGCCAGTGGCCAGGGAAACTGCTCACTGCACCAAGCCACCTCATAGACACCGGTACAGTCTTGCCAGATCTTTTGGTTATCAAGAGGAGCTGGAAATCTGGTGCTTTTCTGGGAATTTAATTGACAATGGCTAAATTAAAACACACCTGTGGGCCTTGTTTTCAGTCTCTAGTCTCAGAAGTGGATGTGAAGTATCACCTAACGAATCCGTTGTTCAGAAAACCCTCCACTGCAGTGCTGGAAAAGGCCCGAGGCATTTGTAACCTAAAGGCTCACAACCCCCTGCAATTTTGCGTGTTTTTGCACATGAGCATTTTGGGGGAATAGGGATCAGATCTAAATCTTTCATCATATTCTCAAAGAAGCCCATATATCTGAAAGGGTTAAGAACCACTCATCTGGGCCACTTCCCCTCATTCTATAGAGGAAGAGGCTGACCCAGACAGGGTGAGAGGCTTGCCTGAGGTCTCATAGCAAATCACTGGCAGAGTGTGGCTAGGTCAACTGGAGAGGTGACTCTCACCCCCCGACCCTTGTTACCCAGCTTTCATCAGGCTTGCTGCTGGCCTGGCCTGGTCCAGTCAGTGGACAGTCTTACCTGTGTGGGAAGCCCGGCCCGGGGCTGGGAGGTCAGAAGAGCTCCCTGGGTTTGTTGAGGTAGCTGGAATAGATTTGGTGTCGGTAGCAGGCCTGGAGAGACAAGGGGAAATGCACAGGGTGAGGGGAGGGGAAAGTGAGGAAGTTCTGTGGAGGTGTCAGGGAGGCCATCTGGGGTAGGGACCTTACCTGGCTGGCTCTGCTGGGCCTGCGGCAGCAGGAACTGAGCAGGTGGCTGGAGGTGGTGGCCTGGCACAAGCACCAGCTGCTGGAGCTGGAGGAGCTGCTGTATGTCCTGGCAGGGAGGGGGATGGACAGAAAGACAGCCTGAGTCCCAGTCGGGTTCCATCCTCTCTGCATCACCTGAACCCTGAGGGACTAAAATCAGGAAGCTGCTCCACATGGCAATCTGGCACTGGGCAGTGAGGGATGCCACCCAGTCTCTGAACAGCATCCCTGAGCAAAAGCAGGTTTTTCTCTGCTGTGGGGTACCAGAGGGTCCCAAATAGGCAGTCCTGGGAGGGCTCACTCTTTATTTACCTTTCTTTTTGATGAAGTATTTGCCTTATCTTAACATTTCCACAGAACAAATAGAATCACTTAAAAATATAAGCCAGGCCAGGTGCAGTGACTCATGCCTGTAATCCCTGCACTTTGGGAGGCCAAGGTGGGCAGATCACCTGAGGCCAGGAGTTTAAGACCAGCCTCGCCAACATGGTGAAACCTCGTCTCTACTAAAAATACAAAATTAGCTGGGTGTAGTGGTGCATGGCTGTAGTCCCAGCTACTCTGGAGGCTGAGGCTGGAGAATTGCTTGAAACCCGGAGGCAGAGGTTGCAGTGAGCTGAGATCACATCCCTGCACTCCAACCTGGGTGACAGAGTGAGACTCTGTCTCAAACAATAATAAATAATAGGCCAGGCACGGTGGCTCAGGCTTGTAATCTCAGCATTTTAGAAGGCCGAGGCAGGCAGATCATCTGAGGTCGGGTAGTTCGAGACCAACATGGAGAAACCCTGTCGGTATTAAAAATAAAAAATTACCCCGGCTTCATGGCACAGGCCTGTAATCTCAGCTACTTGGGAGGCTGAGGCAGAGAATTACTTGAACCTGGGAGGCAGAGGTTGCAGTGAGCTGAGACTGCACCAGTGCACTCCAGCCTGGGCAACATGAGCAAAACTCCATCTCAAAAAATAACAAATAAATAAATAAAAACAAATAAATAAAATTGTAAACCAGACCAGGTATTTCCTCCTTTAAAAACATTCCCAAGGCAATGATACCATGTCTGGAATTAGCTTTAAAATACTCCAGCAAATAGTATAAATTAGTAAAACCACTTTGGGAAGCTCTTCAGCACTGTTATAGGTTGCACTATGTCTCCCCCCGCTACTTCCTGCCACCCCCAAAAAAGATACATTGGAATCCTAACCCCCAGAACCTCAGAGATTAACCTTATTTGGAGATAGGGTCTTTGGTAGATCAAGTTAAAATGAGGTAATTAGGGTGGGCTCTAATCCTATATGACTGATGTCTTAATAAAAAAGGGAAATTTGGACATAGACAAGGATAAAGGGAAGATGATGTGGAGAGACACAGGGAAAAGACAGTAAGCAACAAGCCAAGGAGAGAGGCCTGGAACAGATCTCTCCATCACGGCCCTCAGAAGACACAGATTCTTCCCTCACTGCTGACACCGTAATTTCTGACTTCCAGCCTCCAGAACTGTGAGGCAATACATTTCTCTCAAGTCACCCAATTTGTGGTTCTTTGTTTTGGCAGCCATAGCAAACTAATACAGGTGCTATCTAAGAAAGCTGAATATATACCTCCCTTATAACCCAGCAACTCCACCCCTGCATATAACCCACCATAAATGTGTACGTGTTTACCACAAGACATGTACCACAATGTTCACGTGGACCATTTGAAATATGCAGGATTTGAAGATAGCTCAAGTGCCCTCAACAGAATAGGTAAAGAAACTGCTTCAATGGAAGCCACAGCAATGAGAATGAGCAGTCCACAAGTCACAGTTACATGCTACAACATAGACTTCCCAAACATAATCAGTGAGAGAGCTAGTCTTGACAGAGAACAACCCGTACAATTCTAATGGTTGAAGTTTGGGGAGACAAGACTGAAAAGGGACACCAGGAAGCTTCTGGGGACAGGCCACATTGTTTCTAGATCTGGGTGCCAGTTCCATGGGAGTGCTCATAGCCGTATACCTATGATTTGTACACTTTTATATATTTATTATATTTTAATATAAATATGTTTTAAGAGTTGGGTGGGGAGGTGCAAAAAAATATGTTTTAAGACAGGGCCAGACACAGTCGTGTGTGCCTATAATCTCAGCACCATGGGTGGTTGAGGCAGGAGGACTGCTTGAGGCCAAGAGTTCAATACCAGCAACACAGTGAGACCCCCCATCTCAAAAAAAAAAAAAAAAATCCTTGTTTGCATAGCAGTGAGTAAAAAATAAAGTAAAATAAAGGGAAAAAAAGCAGGATGAGGTAGGGAAAGAGGGAGAGGAAAAACATCCAATCCTCCCCCAACAAAAAAATGAAGAGTTTAGATGAATCCTATTTGCCAGTAGGACTGGCAAAATGTTGGTATCTATTGAGCTTGGTGAAGAGTATGTGGGGTTCTTGACAACATTCTCTCTACTTTTATGTTTAAACATTTCCAAAAGAAAAAGCAAAACCGCCTTACAGATACAGTCCAATGGCTTCTCATAGCTTTCAACAATGCAAACAAAACCCCTCACCTTCCTACAGGTCCATTTATACTGAGGCCTATGCTCATCTTCCTGCTCATCTCCCACCGCCCTCTCCCACCCTGGCTATGCTCCAGCCATTCAGCCCTTTTTCTGTTTGTTTTTTTTTTTTTTTTTCAAATGCACCAAGCTTGTTCCTGCCTCAGGGCCTTTACACATGCTGTTCCCTCTACTGGGCAGTTCTACTTCTGACAGTTATGCCTGGGTCCTAACACAAAGTCACCCTCTCAGAGGTGCCCTCTTTGACCATCCAGTGTTTATCAGCCCGCCTCCTGGCTTCCCTTTATCAGCCCATTTCATCTCCCTCACAAGGCTTATCACCATCTCTAGGCATTGCTCTTCCTGTTTACCCATTCATGGCCGGCCCCTCTCATTGGAACGTCAGGACCATGAGAGCGTGATCTTGACTGTTTCAGTCACCACTGTATCCTGAGCACCTAGAGCAGCACCTGGCACCCAGCAGGTGTTCCATATAGATACATTAATAAACAAGACTGATGCTTTATCATTTACTTGGCAAATTTTATGTAGAGTTGAAACCTGTAATATGTTACTTACAGTTTTTTCCTTCTGGGAAATTGTGGGTATTGGCACATGCCCCTCAATTCTTCCCAATGCTATTACAATTTGATGTGCCAGGAAGTGAACAAACTGGGAAAATACATAAGCAATTCAACAGAAGGAGTTCATTTATTTAATATACAGTGATTTTGAAAGTAACTATATAATTAAAAAAAGAAGAAGAAAAATAACAATTACAAATCTGTATGAAAAAAACTGATAACCCGGTAGTAATGTGGGTGACAAGTCTGGAGAGTGTTCAGTGAAATAAATGTGAACAACTCTGGATAGAAATACACTGAGATTCACTTGCAATAAGATAAACACAACTGCAGTTGCACTGAGATATCATTTTTACCTCTCAGATCACCAAAGATAAAAATAGTGTGTAATATTACATTGGAGAGTGTGGGAAAACACACACACATTCTTGTACATGCTGGTGAGACGGTGATTTGGCAATGTCTATCAAAGTTACAACTGCACACGGCTTTCAACTCTGTCATTCCACTGCTAGAAATTTATCTATTCTCACACTTGTGCAAAATGACCTCTCTAGAAGGCTACTCCCAGCAGCAAGTGGCATTCTAGCAAAAGAGTAGAAGGTTAGCTGAGCAGGCAGCAAGAGAGGGCAGCTTGAATGAATGAGAATAGAGCTCTACAGTGGAATACTATGCAGTTGTCAATAAGAATGGTGAGTCACTTTGTATCCTGATATGGAACAATCTTCAGGATGCCCTGCCTGAGTGGAAAGCTCAAGAGGCAGAACAGAAGATATGATGATGCTACTGTTTTTTGTGTTAAAAAAAAAAAAAGTATATCTCGATATTTGCTTGGGTATGCATAGTTGATGCCTGGAAAACTAAACCAGAAGGCCACATTACAAATCCATCCATACCTCTGGGATTTGAAACACGTACCTGGTCTGAGTAATAAAACATCCCAGTGTCCCACCCCCACCCACCCAAGTCACTGCTGATCAACATCCCTGCTTTTCCAACCATTGACAGCTCAAAGCCATTTCCTGAACCCCTGGGGGTGTCTCTACTTTTTCTGTGTATGGCAGTAGACTGGGTACTCCTGTGCTCCTGACCTTTCTCTTGCTGCTAATCATCTCAGAATCCAACTTAAGGGATTCTGAAGTCCTAGCACTCTATCCTGTGAAACCATGTCCATCCTGCCTTCCCTTTCCCAGCTACCCCAGCCCAATGACACCTCCGTGGTCACCTCCCTCCAGATGTAGATCAGCTGTGAAGCGGACAACACATATGCTTCAGGGCCCCAATTTAGTGAATGCTTTTTAAGGTCCCATACCTAATTTTGGTTTCAAACGTTGTTTTTTTCTTTCAAGGGACTCCAAGTTGCATAATCTTTCAGCCCCACAAAACGGGACCCACCTGCCTTGTGCTGCACGTCTCCCAAGGCAATGAGTATTTTTCCTCTGCTAGACTGAAACTCTAGCAGGCCAGAGGCATGTCTTATTCTTCCTGTATCCCTAACCCATATTGGAGCCTGGTAAGCCCCCATTAAATGCCCACTGAATTGAAGCTAATGAATAAGACCAGAAATCAAGTCTTATTATCAGCATTTTTCTGATTTCCTATAACCCATAACTTGTGGATTAAAGTGTCTGTTAACTCCTGTTCCTCCCTAGCATGACTCTGAGTGAAAATTCCCCTTTCCTCCAGAAGCCTAGAGAGGTATCTATAGGTTTCATTCTGAATCAGCAGAGAGAGGAAATAATGGGGAAAGTGCATCCCAGTTTGCAGAAGGTCTCATGGTGAGAAAGTCTGATGATAAAATATTTAACCACTTCCCTGTCCAGTTTCCTCAGACCAGAGACTTAGGGGTCAGCCTTGATCCCACCTTCCCTTCCTCTCATCCACCCAATCCATCTTCAAGTCCTCCCAGTTCCCTCTACATCTCTTCCTGTCCACAGTCACTGTCCTGGT